TGCCAAACATTATAGACATTTATAATGTAGAAGGAGAAAGTTCCTTATAGTCCCACCTCCCCAAGATACCTGTTAATAATAATTTAGGGTATTTCTTTCCACTTATTTTCAGTACATATACCAATGTATACTTTTATAAAACAGGATTATACTATTTATAACTACATATGCACATACACAAATATATATACATGTAGTATTATGATTTAATTTTTTATTTTAATTTTAGACATTATTCCATGTCTTCTGAATATTATTTCACAATGGATTATTTTAATGTATTTAGTGAATACTTTTAATACCTACTCTGCCAAGCATCATTTATATATTCAGTCATCTGTTAGTAGAAATTATAGGTCATTTTGTTTGATTTTATTTGTTTTTTATTATAAAATGAGATAAAATACTTTTGTAGTATATCTTTAGGCATTTTTTTAAGAGTTTCTATAAGGTGTATTTCTAGAGTTCATCTATAAAAGATACATGTGTTTTTAGGTTTTAAAAAGTACTGCTAGGCCAGAGTTTCTCAGTCTCAGCATTATTGACATTTTGGGCCAGATAATTCATTGTTGCAGCTTGGGGTGGAGGTAGCTGTTCTCTTTAGCAACATCCCTTGGCCTCGATACCAGTAGTACCACCACCCCAAAACCTGATGAGTGAGGGCTGACAATAGTACTCACTGGGTGTCCAGTCACAGTTGTAAGACACATATAAAGTGGAGACATCTTGGATGATCTCAGATTTCTGTCTTGGGTGACCTGCTCAATACTGTCAGTACAAACTTGTCATGATACGGAATACAGATGGAATAACAGATTTGTGTTCTGTTTTGTTTCTTCCAGGAATGTTGTGTGTCCCATGGCTTTTTGTGATTCTGGTAGCTATTAATTGTTCTACTGGGAGTCGTTTAATTGGCAGTTGAATGTTTGGGTTTAGAGTTTGAGACAGAGGCCTGAACCAAAAAGATGTAGTACTTGACCACATATTGGTGAAATTTAAAGCTTAGGTGTAAAGCTCCCAAAATATCCATCCAAAAGAATAAATGCTTAGATTTATTAGGCTTAAGAGGAAAAAAGATTTGGGAGTGTAGATGTGTTGTAAAATTTGTTTTACTTTTGATTCTGCTTTTTAATTTCCATGGTTTTTATGGAGAAGCGTGCTTGGCTCTGGTTTGTAAGTCTCATTATGGCCTGGCAGTGTAAAATTTCCCAAATTATTTCTTTTAAAATTACAGCTGAATAGCCTGTATTTCTTAGGGAGAGAGCTAAAAAGGGACTTTTCCTGTTTAAGAATATAGGTTGCATTGTGTGGTAGAGAATTTGAATGAACTTTAGAGTCAAACTTTGGTTGGAATCTTGGTTCTCATAATACTTAACAGTGTGCCTCTAAGCAAATTATTTAGGTTCACTAAGATTCATTTTCAGTTCAGTTCTGTTCATTCGCTCAGTCGTGTCCGACTCTTTGCGACCCCATGAATCGCAGCACGCCAGGCCTCCCTGTCCATCACAAACTCCCGGAGTTTACTCAAACTCATGCCCTTTGAGTCGGTGATGCCATCCAGCCATCTCATCCTCTGTCGTCCCCTTCTCCTCCTGCCCCCAATCCCTCCCAGCATCAGGGTCTTTTCCAATGAGTCAGCTCTTCGCATGAGGTGGCCAAAGTATTGGAGTTTCAGCTTCAGCATCAGTCCTTCCAATGAATATTCAGGACTGATTTCCTTCAGGATGGACTGGTTTGATCTCCTTGCAGTCCACGGGACTCTCAAGAGTCTTCTCCAACACCACAGTTCAAAAGCATCAATTCTTCGGCATTCAGCTTTCTTTACAGTCCAACTCTTACTTCCATACATGACTACTGGAAAAACCATAATTTTGACTATACAGACCTTTGTTGGCAAAGTCTCTGCTTTTTAAGAGACAGTGAGAGAAGAGAGAAGATCAGAGGTTAAAATGAAGCAGAAAACCACTCACAGAAAGAAAAAGTCCCCCATACAACAAGCAAAATATGGCCACAGACTTGAGTCTTGGTAATTAATAACACTAACTGTAGGGAGGGTGTGTGAAAGAGAGGGTCAGAAATAGCAGCATCAGAGAAACATTGCTGGTGGGAGAGGAGAAAAGGATACTGCTCTTTGGAGCCGTAACAATGAGAGGAAGAAGTAAGGAGAAAATGAAGGGTCCTGGAGAAATGAAAGAAAAGCAAGAAACACCAGTCCAGTCTTCACTCACCACTACCACCCCTACCACCACTGTAGGAGCTGCTCTTAATAATATGCAGCAGCAGACACTCTGAAACTAAGAAGTCTGTCCCTAAAATACTCATGAACAGAAATAAATGCCATACAAAGCTACTGCAAGAGGAATGCAGAAAATGTGAATTAGTACATTTCCACTGATTATAGTTCTTCCCCAAAATGCAAACACAAAACAAGAGAAACTGTATTGTAACACTCCAACCAAATATTCTGAAATTTACGGGCATACTAATAGGGACATTGATGAAAGTAATGTTGATGTAAAGAGGCACTGATAAAGGAAAACAACCAAAAGAATGAAAATGAGATGAGAGAAGTGAAAAGCTTCAGAGAGAAAGTGGTTAAAATACAGTATAGGCAAAGGAAGCCCCAACGTTGTTGTATTTATAACTGGATTGACTGCAGAAGAAATCAGTGGAAGAGAACTAATTATTAAACCATAGTCCAAGGAAGCTTTTAAGAAATAAGAGGAAAACTGAAATTTATAAATTAAAAGGACCCGCCTTGGCAGATAGATCCAGAACAATGAACTCTTGAGACATAGACTGTTAGATTTTAGAGACTAGAAGAACTATTTTAGATTTTGAAGGTAAATTTTTTTTTGGACCCTTGGTGGGGGGAAAAAAATCACATTAATTAGATTTGCATCTGACTTCTCTAGAAATGATACACAAAAGAAGGCTTCAGTAAAACAGCATTTTTTAAAACTCAAGGAAGCACAGTTCAAGCTTGCCAACCTGTCCTTCAAGTATCAAGGCTATAGAAAAACAATGAGAATTTAATAGATTATAGATTCGAGACTAAAACAGTGGTGGGGATATGGGCACAATTGTTATATGTAAGTGAGTCGGGAGACAAAGGAAAAATAGAATAAGATCATTCCCTATTATAAATAGTAAGTGGGAATTTTGGATACCATTTAAAATGGACAGACCGCATAGTAAAAGTTTAAGTAAACAAAAAAGAGATTTAGGACCCTCTAAAATACATAAATACAAGAACGTGTGAAAGTCACCACTAGAACCAAAAATGCAAATATTCCTAAATACCAAAGGAAGACTTTTTTGAAAAGCAAAATCATCAACTGGAGAAAGAGTGGGAATAATAAAAACAGTGATTATAGAAGAGTATTTCAAACATACCAATTACTTCAATAAGCATAAGGGGCTTAACTCACATGTCAAAAGAAAAACACATCTAAAAGAGTGAAAAAGGTTAAAAATAAAGAGACGTGCAAAAACATCACAGGAATATGGAAACAATAAGAAAGCAGTTGTAATCTTGATAGACAAAGTAGAATCTGGGGGGGGAAAAAAACATCAAACACAGTAGTGTGCTTTATGTTAAAACCCCATAATTCTCAAAAAAAAAAAAACCAAAACCCCATAATTCTCAGTGAACTTATATTTTTGAATATCCACCAAATATAGCAAACACCTGACTATCGAAGAATTGCTACAGCAGAATAAAGGATAATGCAAGAAAAAATAGAAACACATAATAGATTTTAAATTCATCAGTACAAATCTGGTATAAGTGATTCAGGATCTAGTAAATTTTCTGTTTCATAGTAGGAATTGGCCATTGGTTTCTTTTAATGGGAATGGGAAATGATATTTAGAGATCACGATCTTTATATCAGGATTGCTCACTTACACAGGGTTGGTCTTTCTTTCTAGATCTTTTCAGTACACAAAGCTTAGGCTATCTTTTTTTTTTTTTTAAGAGAAAAGATACATCGTTATTTCATGCTGACATTTTCAGTTGAAATTTGAAATAACAGGTTTATTTCTTTCACTTTTATATTTGTATCTCTTTTTACTTGTGCTAAAAAATCTTAGTTTCTAATGATATTAATGAAATTAATTATTCATCTTAATACCTGCACTTAGAAATTAACAATACCAATATTATTACAATCATTAGCAATTAGCATAGCTACTGCAAAAGGTTTAAGATGTATTTGCAGTTCCTTTTGTCCATAGGGTATATCCTAGTATATATATACAAATTACTGTGTTTTGAATCCACCAGAAGTAATTTCTCTATGTGTAGTTAAACCACCAACTCTTTTTATTTTTAGGCTTTTGTTGTTTTGCTTTGCTTTATGGGTTTTTTTTTTATTTTAAAGAATTCAGGATAACTTAGATGACAGTCGTGGTTTATAAATAGCAACTAAAAGTGTTAAATTTTGGAGATAGTGTTTAATCAAAAAGCGTTCAATTTTTCAAAAAAAATTTTCTCAATTTTTTCCTGAAATGGATGAGGAATTTACTGTAATTAAAAGTTTTACTTGTTTCTGTATACTCACTGGGAGCCCTTGATCTCCAATGCAGCCCTAAAGAATGTACCACACTACTACAATACACTCTTTCTAAACTATTTGCGGGAATTTATCTCAGTGTTTTCTAAGACATTCAGATTATCACTTGAGTCCTTGCATGGAGTTTGTCAACCGCTTAGCCTACTGATTTGGTTACTTGGGGCCTCAGTTATGTAGATAACTGCTCCTCTCCCTTTCTGATGTCAGGTAACTTTTATGTGTAATATTTAATACAAATAAAATTATATGTTGTAACAAAATTATATACTATGGCTTGAAATCTGAAATGTAAAACTTTATTCTCTTGGGTCACAAAAGTCTGTTTTTTGCCATAGCAGTAGCAGAATATAAACTTGTAGTTAGTATGTCACTTCTTGGGACGTTGGATCATAAAACATATAATTCTGTGGTTTCTCTTTTCAGAGTCTGATAAAATACCAGTAATGCGTGGACAGTGGTTTATTGATGGTACTTGGCAGCCACTGGAAGAAGAAGAAAGTAATTTAATTGAGCAAGAACACCTTAGCCGTTTTAGAGGTCAGCAGATGCAGGAAAGTTTTGATATTGAAGTGTCTAAACCCATAGATGGAAAAGATGGTAAGATCAATTAATACATTTAATATGTTTTATACAACATATAAGTTATTGATAAAGCTTAGAGTGGCTGCTAAGTTTGAAATAGTAATTCATAAGTGTTAAAATTTACATGATTTCTGATTATTTCAAACATTTGTTATTTTAGAACTTAAAAATTGCTATAAATTTCTGAACTATTTCCATTTTTATTTTACTTAACATATACTTTCACTGATATGACACTAACATGATTTACCATAAATGTACAATATGTTGTAATATGCTTTATGAATTAGTCCTTTTGAGTAGCTTTTTAGTTATCAAAGAAAATTGAACTTATAAAAAAAATCCTTTGTTATTCTACTGAAAGAGTAGTTTTGCTAATATTTTAATGTTGGTTCTCCTGAAGTTTAAAAAGGCTTTAATTTCCTTTGTGTAAGTCCTGTCTAACTGTCTTGATATTGCTAACCATATCAATTTTTAATTTGAAACAATCTACTCCTTATATTTCCTTATTTGGCATTTTGATTTTTTTTTTCTGGCAATAGTTTAAAATACTTACATACTAGCCAAGATTATCATGTTTCACTATGTGCCTGATCTTGAGTAAAATTCAAAATGTGTGGTCAAGTTAAAAATACTTCTATTGTTCATTTACTGCAGGCAGTGGGATCAACTATTCTGGTGAGTATAACAGTATAGGTAGATGAGAATTTATAGATTTCTCTTTTTTTTTCCTAAAAGTGTTTCTTCATCCATGTTTGCCTTTGTTTGGGAAGTTTCTTGGCAAGCCCTACTTAAGCGAGTGAATTAGACTATGAACTAGTCGTTTGTCTCCCTCCCCTTGTAAAACATCTATAAAGCAGAAAACTTCAATTTTTGATCAAGTAATTCACAGAATGCAGCTTGGAAGAAATGAATTATGTAGTTGGAAGTAATTGTTTATATAACATCAGTTCAGTTCAGTCAGTCATGTCCAACTCTTTGTCACCCCATGGATTGCAGCACACCAGGCTTCCCTGTCTTTCACCATCTCCCAGAGTTTGCTCAAACTCATGTCCATTAACAATAAATGTAAAATTGGGTGTTTTTATATCTTTAAAACTCTACATAACTGAGGAAAATGGTGGCTTCTAAGTAAATCGGTAATTAAATCTAAGAAATGTCTATTATATGCCAGATCCATACTCTAGGAATTTTAAGCATTTCATTTTCCTAATACCTAGAGTCAAATATGTTCTTATTCCACTGTAAAATTCAAGCTCAAGGTTCTTAACTATCAATATATAAGAACAGCTCAGTGTCTGTAAGGCAGAGCTGTGTCTACATTCCTGAAGACTGCCACAAAGACAATACTTTGATTAAAGCACAAATAACAAATTTTGTATATGTCTGATCTTTTATTGGTGACTGACATGTTTTGGAACTTCTCATCACACTCTAAATAATCACAAAAGCCTACTTCATAGTATTTGAAAAGCTGAACTTTTTTCATAACTTCGTATCTATTGGGAAAGACTGAATTCTAGATTTTTTCCTTTCTGTTAATTCTCCTTAAGTCTTCTCTCAAAAATGGCAATTCACCTTAACAAACCCAGTTTATCCTCCCAGATTCTTTACTATTAATGCATGGGAAAAACCCAAGAGCTTCAAGGGGGAAAAGGATGAGTATGAAAAATAAAAATGAGTATATTGTCCCCCTTTCTCATACTATATTCAAAGCATTTCTTTTCCACTTGCTAATTTGCCCTGTGGAAGTTAGTTATTAGCTCTGTTTCATCTCTAGATCCCATCTACTTGGAATCTGAAATGTTAAATGGAGCAGCATACTCATATTTTCTTCAAAGTGCTCTAATTTTATGAGCCAGTCATTTAAATAAGTCTGATAAAAGAACATGGTTTATTTGTATGAGAAAATTTTTCAGCATGTATTTGAGCTTGTCAATCTAGGATATTACTGTATTTTTTGATAGCTTTAAAGATACAGATTGGGTGGTAAAATTCTAATTGGTAGTAATAGAAAATTGTGAAAGTATAGAACACATTTGTATTGTAATCTTTCAAATTAATGATCTTTTGAGGTTCTTTAGAAAAATTGATTTTTTAAATATACTGTGACATAAAACATCAGGATGTTTTATTATCAACAAAGTTCAATTCATTGTATGTACTATTGTCATGAATTTCCAGCCATTTTGTTATTCAGTACTATGCAGAACATACTTTTATGTATTAAAATGTGACTTTTGACTCTGAAGATTATGGGAAATTCTGTAGTATATTTGAAAATTATCACTGGTCTTGAGGAAAGAACATTTGCTGACCAAAAAGCTAGGTTGTTGGAAAATAACTCAAATTTGCAATACAAAGATAAAAAAGTATTATCTTTTGATTATTTTGCTTCTTACCTTCAAGCTTCTGAAGTTTCCTATTTTATTAATTTTAGGGGGAAAATAGTTTTTCCACTTAAATTTTCTCATTGTACCTAAGTAAAGCCTTGACTCTTCATACTGCTAGAAGATTTTGAATATTCTCTGTGTAAATAGTACTATGCTTGTTACTTTTGTGAAAGAAACACAGGGTTTTGTCCTTCAAGGAGTTTTAAACCATTGGGGATGACAAAGCCTGCAGATGAGAAGTTACAGAGAATAAATACAAGATAACAAAGTAGACAGTGCATATTATACATTCTTGAAAAAGAGATATAAAATAGAATTGGCAATCACAGTGCAATGGAGTTACTCAAATGAGGCTTTCTGAGAAAGTGTCATATTTAATAATTTAAAATTTTCAAAAAAAAAACTTATTCAGGAACTCTTTTTAAGTTCTCTGGGGAATTCCTAAGAAACTTAACAGAGTTCTTGCCTTGAAGTGAAAGTTGCTCAGTCTTGTCCAGCTCTTTGCAACCCCATGGACTATACAGTCGATGGAATTCTCCAGGCCAGAATACTGGAGTGGGTAGCTTTTCCCTTCTCCAGGGGATCTTTCCAACCCAGGGATCAAACCCAGGTGTCTCCGCGTAAAGCAGATTCTTTACCAGCTGAGCCACAAGGGAAGTCCCTTTTGCCTTGAAGGACATTCAAATAAAATCCTAATTCCTTTTCCTTCTGACCTTATCTGTATCTTGGTTAGTGTAGTTATTGACACAAATACACTAAATATATTTATTATTTTCTTATTAATTATCCTACTAATCTCAGAGTAAACATTGAATTAAATTGATTGAAGTTTAGCATAACTTATCTTTTTAAGAAAGATAAACCCCCCAAAGTATATTTTGTGATTTAAATTTCACTTTTTCTGAGTTAAAAAATGACTGTCTTCCAAACCCACCTCCTAGGCTAGGATACAGTTATCTGGCAGCCTAACAAATGAAGGCTAGAAGTTCACTGGGGATTAAAGTTAATGTAGAGTTAGTGTTAGTCGCTCAGTTACATCCAACTCTTTGCAACCCCGTGGACTGTAGCCCACCAGGCTCCTCTGTCTGTGGAATTTTCCAGGCAAGAATACTGGAGTGGGTTACCATTTCCTTCTCCTGGGGATCTTCCCAACCCAGGGATTCAACCCTGGTCTCCTACTTTGCAGGCAGATTCTTTACCATCTGAACCACTTGGGGAAGGCTTGAGTCATAAAATAAAAGCAGGGCTTCAAATAAGTTACTTTGTAAATACTTAAAAGTCCTAGAGTAGTATCTCACTCATTTTATAATTTATCTATCCAAGCAGTAATCAGTAAAAAATGGTTGAACTAAATGAATTAGTCCTACAACTGCTCTGGTCAAAAACTGTATAATCTCAATCCAATTACAAGAAAACATCAAACTCAATTTGAGGGACATTTTACAAAATAACTCACCAGTATTCTTTGGAAATGCCAAGGTCATAATTAACCAGGTGGAGTCAGGATCCTTTTATTAGTGTTTATGTAAACTTTAAATTTCTTATAATTTTGTCAGTTGTACCTCAGTAAAGCTGAAAAAAAAATTTTTAAGTGTCAAAGCCATGGAAGACAAGGAAAGATTAAAGAATTTATCACAAATTAGAGGAAACTAAGGAAACATAGTATCAAAATGCAACATGGTACCTTGGATTGGATCCAAAGACAGAAAAGGACTTAAGTAAAAAAGCTGGAAAATTCTGAATAAAGTTAGTATTTTAGCTGATAGTATTATACCAACCTTAATTACTTAGTTTTGATAATTGTACTATATAGTTATGCTAACATTAGGAGAAGCTGGATGAAGGATATATATGATAGTGATACTCTCTGTACTATTTTTGCAGCTTTTCTGTAGGTTGAAAATTATTCCACAGTAAAAAGATGTTGTTTTTTTTTCCTTAAGGCCAGTAGAGAAATTAAAATAGTAAAATGGGTATATAAAAAAAACCAAAAGAAACAACAAAAGGAGAAATAAGAAATAGAGATAAAACAAAGGAAATGAATGGGAAATGGTAGACCTAAATTCACCCATATCAAAAACTATAGTAAAAAAAAAAAAAAGAAAAGAAAAAACTATAGTAAAAACCACTACAATATTGTAAAGTAATTAGCCTCCAACTAATAAAAATAAGTGGAAAAAATAAATAAATCTCAGGTGGGAAACTAAAAAAAAAGGCAGATTGACAGATTTGTTAGGAATGCACAATCCAACTATTTGTTTCTACAAGAGTCATGAAGTGAAAGAAAGTGAAAGTGAAAGTTGCTCAGTTGTGTCCTACTCTTTGGGACCCCATGCACTATAGAGTCCATGGAATTCTCCAGGCCAGAATACTGGAGTGGGTAGCCATTCCCTCTTCCAGGGGATCTTCCCAACCCAGGGATTGAACCCAGGTGTCCTCTTTGCAGGCAGATTCTTTACCAGCTGAGCCACAAGGGAAGCCCAAGAATACTGGAGTGGGTAGCCTGTTCTCTTTCCAGCAGATCTTCCCAACTCAGGAATGGAAAATGGAACCAGGGTCTTCTGCATTGCAGGCAGATTCTTTACCAACTGAGCTATCAGGGACTCAATATAAAATCACAGATAGGCTAAAAGTTAAAAAAAAAAAAAATGGACTTTTTACTGTTCAAGCTAAGTTGGGATGCTATGAAAGCACAAGTGTTGGTGGATCCCCAAGGATTTATAGCATTTAACAATTTGGCATGTAGTCTATATACCTATCCTATTGCTGGATAAGGATATCCCAAACTGAATATATCACTTCAAAAGTCTAAGGCCAGGAGGGGGGGAAGGGAGGGGAGAATGGGGAAAGGGAAGGAAGAAGTAATAACCCTTTCTCACCAGCTTTTCTTTTCCTCTTTGGTGGCTAACAGGATTCCTATCTTCTAGCTTTTAATTATCAATCAATTTTTATAAATGTATGTATTTAGTTTTTGTGAGATCCAAGAAGACTGACAGGAGTTTTCTCATTCTAGTTGGCAGATTTGAGATGTGCAAACCTCCTTTCCCTCAAGTTGAGATTATCCAGGTTGCCAGCTTTTGCAAAGGGAAAAGTTATAAAGTTATTCTATTCTAGGGAGTAGTGTATCTTCAGCAACCTCCTTTTTGATACTCTGCTTTCAGAATTATATAATGAAGGACATTTCTGTAATACATGAATTATAGTAAGGAAATTTATTGAAAACACTGTATCTTAGTAATTAATATCTTTTTCGTTGCTGTGTAAGACTTTAATACATAAATGAAAAGTTTTATTAAATGTTAGCATTTAATTAGAATTTTCAGTTGTATTTTGAGTTTGTGCATACTTTTGCTAACACAATGTGAGAATTCTTAACTAAAACTTTATTTTAGTGATCCTTATTGGAATGAAAGTAAACCCTTTTTGTCTCTACTTGCTGTGGTACTTAATTCTTTGCTTTGGGTTGAAAAAAATTAAACTCTCCATGCTTCAGGATGTTGGAACAAAGCAAATGCTTTTCAAGTGAAAATAAGAATTAAGTTTGAGAAGAAGGTTAATAAGCATGTCCTTAATTTTTTGAAAATGTTTTGAATATGTTTTTCTGATTTTAGTATATTGGGATATTTTTCTTGTTGTTAATCCTTACATTAATGTTCCTTTAGGTAAAAGCTTTCATTTTTATATATTGACTAGCTTTTAGAAAGTGTTTACATAATTTTAGAGTGTGATCAGGTGGTCCATATGTTTCCCTCTAGTTATTTCTTAGTAAATGGGGCATCATTAGTTTTGCTAGTAGACTTATAAGTCTAGGTTTTGTTTGAGCAGTGAAGTCTCAAGTGTATGTCAGATTTGATCTACTTGGATATGTTAGCTTTTTCCTAATGATTTCTTTTCCTGCAAGTGATATATCTACCCCTTAGTAACTGACCAGAAAGCACATGAAAGAAGAAATACGTTCAGTGAAGAAAATTGTTTTGGTTGTCATTTTCCAACCCTCTGTGACAGCAAGATATTTTTATAATCTTGATGTTACAACTCAGCATATAATTCTTGTCTATACTTTTTTTATAATCACCTAATTACATATAAAGTTATGAAATGCCTTGTAAGCATTTCTCAATAACCTTTATCACATATATCTTTAAATTTACTTTATAAGATTTTTTAAAATTTCTAGTACTATACAGTTGGAGTTAAGTATTTTTGTATTTGAGCAGTATTTAATCTTTGAATATCACATTAATGTAGAAGAGAGTGAGGATGGAAATGGAATGCGTGAAGTATGTAAGTCGCTCAGTTGTGTCTGACTGTTTGCAACCCCATGGACTATACGGTCCATGGAATTCTCCAGGCCAGAATATTGGAGTGAGTAGCTGTTCCCTTCTCCAGGGGATCTTCCCAACCCAGGGATCGAACCCAGGTCTCCTGCATTGCAGGCATTCTTAACCAGCTGAACCACCAGGGAAACCCAAGAATATTGGAGTGGGTAGCCTGTCCCTTCTCCAGCATATCTTCCTGTGTTACAGGTGGATTCTTTACCAGCTGAGCTATCAGGGAATCAAATGTATTAGAATGTAAATTTGAACTAAATCATAACGATTCTGTGATTCATTAAATGAACTATAGAGAAACTGATTGTAAGATTTAATTCTTAGTGGATTTTTTTTAAATAATTGCTTATTTAAAAATGTGAAGAAATTTGTTGATATATAACTAGCAATATTTGACAGAGAAAATGTTGACTTTAACGTTATCTACTGATTTGCCAAATATCAAGTCTGTGTCTGGCTTTACTCTGTTGTCTGTTTTATACTTACAAGATGTCACAGCATACATTTTTAATAACTTTTTCTTGTCATTCTGTCTAATCTTTCATTATTTTACCACTAAAAATTAGTTCAGAGTAGAGCTTTCAATTTAATTTTTTGAAAAGTTTCATGTTTTCATTTTTCGTTTTTGAAAATATTTTAACAACTTTGTTGAATAGAGTTGTGAAAAGAATATTTCTACAGGAGGGCTCTATTATGCTTCAGTGAGGGAAAGCATCTAGTAGAATGTGTACTATGGTATCTTCTCAGGAAACCTGCATTACATGTTTAATATTGTTTATTGCATTTCCAATTTACACATCAGATGTTGGCTATGTCATAATCACAAATTTGGTGAGAGTAAATAACTTTAGTATTGTAAAGATGGGGTGTTATTAATCTCTTATGCATACAAAAATGCCGTGTTTTGTTTTTTATCTATACAAAGATGTTAAAAATGGTGATCATGTAGGTGTCTTTAACTGATATATTTAGATATCATTTGCCTTTTTACTTTCAGTAAAAGTAGAAGCATATATTTGATAAACATTATTAAACTAATATTTTGCTGCACTGATTTTTAATTGGAATTTATATAAAGCATTTAGAATAATGTTTGTCAAATACAACTAATTTTTTAAAGTTAATACAACAAAAAGGCAAAATGGTAAACCTCATTTAAAATTTACTTTGAAGCTCAGTGTTTTTGCTTTCTTAGTTGTCTACCACCTCCCTCCCTTCTCCCTCCCTTCTCTGTTCAAATGGAGAGGATATAAGGAGAGTACAGATGCAGCAGGTCTTAAACGAAAGCGTTCCCAAGGTACAGTAATTGTAGTTTTATTTCTCCTTGTAGATATATTCCTGGCTTGTAGCTTTCAGTTGTGTCTATAGCATTCAGTTGTACTTAGAGCATAGAAATTACTAGTTTTATAGAAATGTATCCAGTGTGTTATTTTGGTTAGTATTAATTAAAAGTGGTATAAACATTTGCCAGCCATGTGTATAGTTTAGCAATGGGATATTTGCCAATATTAACATGCTTTAAGACAATGTGAATGGTTTAGAGAGAAACAATTTTGTTGGCTTAACACTGTTAATATCTTGGTCTTATAGTTTTAATGTTTTAAGAATATGTTGCTCAGAACTGTTTTAACAAAAATGCAGTTTTGAAACATTGGATTAAAAGGCTTAAAGTACTGACTTAAGGATCAGACATAGATTTAGGAAAGTAAATAACTTAAACTCTTTGCAAAATATTTTTTAGTTTATGGCAAGTTCTTTCAGTTAAAACTTTTTACACTGGATTTGTGTTTTGTTTTGTTTGCAATAGAAGGTATTATTCAGGTTTCTTATGTTAATTGCATCTTGGTCTTGTGTTCAATGTTAGCAGTAATGTGTCCTGGTAGGTCAGGAAGATATAAATTGGTTTTTCATAAATTTTTGAAATGGCATTTTTAACCATAACTCCAAAGTACATTTTCTTGGCAAGGATTTGCTTTTCATTGTATTCTAGTAGGAAATACCTTTTCACAAAAAGTGTCTTATGGTCTTAGATCTTGACCAGGACTCTATCCTTGAACAGAAGAGTCAGACTCTGTCACTAGCTGGCAGAGTGGCATTAAGTGGCAAGTCGCTTAATCCCTTTCTTTATACCTCTATGTGTTTATGTATAATGGGAGATAGTATTTTGCTTAAAGAGTATTTTAAGGAAATAAATTAAGCATAATGATTTGAAGGTGACTGGTTTTATAAAGGTATGTGAATTTTTCTTACCTCTATATAAGAGATAAAGAGAAAAGTTTAAGTCCTTCAGACTGTAAGAATTATCAAAAGATGAATTGGTGGACGTGTTTTGAGAACTACCTTAATCTGTTGCTTCCACAAACATTATTAAATTTGTGATACATGCCAAACAGGATGCTAGAACTGTGTTTGGTGTTAGTGATACAAAGTGATTAAGGTATAGTCCCTGCCTCTCATTGTTTGTTATTCCCAGAGAATATAGGTTTGACTTTTTTTTTTTTCTTTAGAGCTCATTTTCACCAAGCATACCTCATTACAGAAATGAAATAACCATACTAATTTGAACATAATAGTAGGAAAAAAACTGATTTCTTTTTAAAAGCTCTTTCAGCTTTGGAGTTCTGTTATGGTGAACAGTATCCAGTGATAATTGGCTTTAATATCCATTCCCAAAATACCTTAAATTCTAATAAATTAGGTTATTCTCTTCCCAGTTTAAAGATTTTTTTTTTTAACCTGAGTCTTGTTTTATCTTATGCTGAGTAGTTTCCACAGAACAAAAAGTAAAGTCAACAGAAGAAATGGAACCTAAGTTTCTATGTCAAAGGTACTGAGGACTTTCATGAAGGTGTATATCCCTTAGACCTAAGGAATGATCACATAACCTGAGAAAGCAGTTCTTTAATAATCAAATCATATTTCCTAAAGAGGTTAAAATTATGATCATTAAGCCAGCTTTATTCCATGTTGTTCTAACAAGTTGCCTTTTCCTATAGCATGTTTACTAATTTATAAAATTAAGTCCCTGTCCGTGACTTGTTTCACATCGATATGTGTTTCAATAAAACAGTTTTTTGTTGAACTGAGTTAAGATATTCGTTCAAAAAAATCTGTGTATTATAATTTTCATTTAAATGAAGTTTGTCTTGGAGACCTTCAAATTTTTCCTTTTTGCAACAGCTATTCATAGTTTCAAATTGAGTCGAAACCACGTGGACTGGCACAGTGTGGATGAAGTATATCTGTATAGTGACGCAACAACATCTAAAATTGCAAGAACAGTTACTCAAAAACTGGGATTTTCTAAAGGTATTTGCTAAATATTATTAGAGTTTGTCAAATGTTGGGAATCTGACTTTTTCTCTTATATTTAAAATAGACAATTCAGATTTTTATTTTCAGTATATTTTAAATATGTATTAAGTTTAATGACAGTTTCTACCCTGTTAAACTAACCTTTATCAAAGTGACTGAGTTGACATGTATTCATTAATAAATAATTATATGTTAGGAATGATCTGGCAAGATTATTAAGGATGTTTTTTTACTTCTCAAAGCACAAAAGCAGTCAGACCTGAGGCAGTGATGTGAAATAAAACATAGCAATTGAAATTGTGTCAGTTGAAACAACAATTGACAAGCAATTGAAACAGTGTCAGGGAAAGTAAAGACTGGAAATTTTTCTACTGAAATGTAGATCATTGGTGACGTAGATGAATTTCTGGGACAGAGACAGATGGGCATGAGTTGAAGTTTAAGTAGAACTTGAAGAAATGGAGGCATTGAGAATAGACAAACCTTTAAACAAAGCAAAATTGACTAAAAGGAAGAAAAGAGGGACTGATATCTGGAAAAGATGTGAGTGCATTATCAAAAAATATTTTTTCAAAAATTTTTTCTGTCTGATAATTTTTTTGCTGTCTTTTAAAATTCTTTGATAATAGATGTGCTTACACATTTATTTCTTCATTAGTTGTATTTGTTTTGTGGATTATCACACCTTTAGCCCATTTTGCTATTTGGATGATTCATTTCACTTTTTGATTAAAAAGTTCTTTAATTAACCTACTGTGTGTCATGTTTTGCAAGATATTTTCCTGTTTGTCATTCATCTTTTATCTTTTCTTCATAATATTTTTCTTAAAGATGTTCTTAATTTTTATGTGCCCAGTTCATCTTTTTTCCTTTTTGCATTATTGTTTCTGGCTTCACTGTCATGGCTAGTTCAGTACTTTTTATTAGAGCTGATCCTTCTATATCTTACAAATTTTATCCCCCCTATTTTTTTCAATATAGTGAAAATGCTATCTCTGTAATAAGTAATAAGCTTAGAACCATGATTTTCCCACAGCATCAAGTAGTGGGACCAGACTTCATAGAGGTTATGTAGAAGAAGCGACATTAGAAGACAAGCCATCTCAGACTACCCATATCGTATTTGTTGTGCATGGCATTGGGCAGAAAATGGACCAAGGAAGAATTATCAAAAATACAGCCATGTGAGTGTTTTGATGACTACAGTCTCCATCTAGTCAGAGTCCAAATTTTTGTCCAGGGTATAATATAGTTTAATCGTTATGCCACTTGTTTCTCCGGTGCCAGCTATTCTGTTTTAGTTGTAGATGAAGGTTTTGGACCAAATTTTGAGAATAATCATATCTAGGTGATGATGATGATATTTATTTGTTTTTTTTCCTTTTTAACATGGAGAAGTGAAGGGATAAGAAAGCCTTTAATGTATTATTAGTTTAAAGTGAAGTTGAAAGCAAGAAACAAGTCTGGCTTTAAGTTTCTATGTTAATCTCTGAATTGCAGAAACTGAGAATACTGTATAATTCTGAAAAAGCTAAGAATTGTGTAAATTGCCAGTTAGCAGCTTAACTTGTCCAATTAATTATAACCAGAGGAAACTGAACCCTAAATTTTACAGAGAACAAATAGTGGGTGTTTTGCCAACATGCTAGGCAGGTTATTTACCTCAGTTATTTATATTCAGCTTTATTCTAAAAGCTTGTTAAGATGTTGGGAGAAGGAATGTTCATATATGAATTTCAAAAATGTTTAGGACGGTGTGAAAAGGAAATTTTAGAGTTATGGCTTCCACCCATAACTTGGCTCTCAACTTGGCTCTCTTCCACAAACTTGGCTCTCAACTTGCAGCCAATATAAAGAAAAATCTGATCAGACTTATAATGTGATGAGAACAAATCAATTGTTGAGAACACAGTTTATCAGGTTCTGAAATTTCAAGTAAATGTGTTTCTTGAGTCCTGATAAAGCAAATACTCTATGATAACAGGAACTATGTCCTCAGCAATATCTCTATAATAATACAATGTTGAGTTCTATTTTACTTTTTATTGTAACACCTTTTAATGCCAGCTGATGGATTAAAATAAAAGTACATTCAATCTGAAAAAAAAACAAAAACAAAAAATCTTTGTCAGACACTGCCAGGTCATTCTGATCCTTGTCATTCTCTGTAGCTTGTATTACAGAGATCTCTTCCCTCTGATTCTGATTTTCTTTTCTGATGATTTGTACTTCCCACAATGTTTACATTCTTGTGGCAAGATGCTAATCTTCTCCTTGGTTACCTAAGGACTCTGAGAAGTAGGTTTAATAACATGTTCTCTCTGGAGCTGTTCATATTTGGAAAGGTACCAGCTTGATTTCTTTGGGTGCAAGTGAGGGAAAACTTAAATCAGAAGGAGGATTCAGTAGTCCATAAAACTGAGAAGTCTAAGATTTGCCAAACAAGTCATCGGAATCCAGTTTCTATCCACTCTACACACCTTCATTTTTTAGCTATTTTCAGACATCTCCTGTGGTTCTAGATGTGGTTTATATCATCTTGTATTCGAGTTCAGGAAGAAAAAAATTAGTCTTTTTTTCCAGAAGTCCCTGCTAGTCTATGCATTTTAATGACTGGTAGTATCACCTGCAACTGTCTGAATCTGTACACGGCCATGATCTGATCTGCCGGACTTGTCAGCTTTCCATGACACCACCTTCATGGCAGAAAGGGAAGAAGAACTACAGAGCTTGTTGATGAAAGTGAAAGAGGAAAATGAAAAAGTTGGCTTAAAGCTCAACATTCAGAAAACTGAGATCATGGCATCTGGTCCCATCACTTCATGGCAAATAGATGGAGAAATAGTGGCTGACTTTATTTTTCTGGGCTCCAAAATCACTGCAGATGGTGACTGCAGCTATGAAATTAAAAGACGCTTACTCCTTGGAAGGAAAGTTATGACCAACCTAAACAGCATATTGAAAAGCAGAGACATTACTTTGTCAACAAAGGTCCGTCTAGTCAAGGCTATGGTTTTTCCAGTGGTCATGTATGGATGTGAGAGTTGGACTATAAAGAAAGCTGAGTGCTGAAGAATTGATGCTTTTGAACTCTGGGGTTGGAAAAGATTTTTCAGAGTCCCTTGGACTGCAAGGAGATCCAATGAGTCCATCCTAAAGGAGATCAGTCCTGGGTGTTCATTGTCAGGACTGATGTTGAAGCTGAAACTCCAATACTTTGGCCACCTGATGCGAAGAGTTGACTCATTTGAAAAGACCCTGATGCTGGGAGAGGTTGGGGGCAGGAGGAGAAGGGGACGACAGAGGATGAGATGGTTGGATGGCATCATCGACTCAATGGACATGGGTTTGGGTGGACTCTGGGAGTTATCACAGTGATGGACAGGGAGGCCTGGCATGCTGCGGTTCATGGGGTCGCAAAGAGTCGGACATGACTGAGTGGACTGAACTGACTGACTGAACTGACACATTAGAATTAGATAACCATCGGAAGAGGTAGAGCCATATTCAAAAGAATAAAATATTTAGGAATAAGTTTAACAAAGAAGTGTAAGATTTGTACACTGAAAACTATAATACACCAATGGAAGAAATTAAAGAAGACTTTAATAAATGGAAAAGACAACCCACATTTGTGGATTAGAAGATTAATGTTATTAAGATGGCAATACTTCCTAAATAGATCTAAAGATTCACCACAATCCCTATTAAAATTTCACCTGTCATTTTTTGCAGAAGTTGGCAGGCTGATTCTAAAATTTACATGGAAACGCAAGTGACCCAGGATAGCCAAAACAGTCTGGAAAAAGAATAAAGATGAAAGACTTTGCAATGATTTGCTACAAAGCTACTGTAGTCAAGACACTGTGGTACTCATTGGTGTGAAGATAGACCTAGATCAATGGAATAGAATTAAGAGTTTGATTGATTTTCAACAAGAGTGCCAAAATAACTCAATGAGTAAAGACTAGCCTTTTAACAAGTGGTGCTAGGACACCTGGATATCTGCCTGCAAAAGAATGAAGTTAAAACCCTGCCTTATACCACATACAAAAATTAATTCAAAGGGAAGCAAATACCTAAATATGGAGGTTAAAACTCTATAGTAGTAGATCTTTGTGATCTTGGATTGGGCAGTGGGGTCTGAGATACAACGTTAAAGGTAAAGGCCACTGAAGGGACTTCCCTGGTGGTCCAGTGGTTAAAATCTACCTTGCAATGCAGGGAACACGGGTTCAGTCCCTGGTTGGTGATCCAAGATGCCACATGCTGCAAGGCAACTAAGCCCATGTGTCTCGAGTAGAGAATCTTGCCCTTCAACAAAAGACCCAACATGTCGCAACAAAGATCCCACATGCTGCAACTAAGACCCAATGCAGCCAAATGAATATTAATAAGTAAGTAAAAAAAAATAAAAAGCCACTAAGGAACAAAAAGATAAATTGGGCTTTTTCAAAATTTAAAACTCTAGTTTTTCAAATAGCACTATCAGGGAAGTTAACGACAACCCACAAAATGGTAGAAACATTTGCAAGTCATATCTGATAAGGGTCTAATATTTAGCATATATAAAGAATATCTACAATTCAATCATTAAAAAAATAAATACCCCAATTTTTTAAGTGGGTGAATAATTTGAATGAACATTTGTCCAAATAAAATATACAGATGACCCATAAACACATGAAAAGATGCTCAGTATTATTAGTCATTAAGGAATTGCAATTCAAAACCACAGGGAGATATCACTTTCTGTTGACTACAATGACTCATCAAACATACAGAAAATAGCAAATATTAGCAAGGATGTAAAAAAAAAACAAGAACCCTCATGTGTTGTTGATGGAATTGTAAAATAGTACAGCAGGGTTGTAAAATAGTACAGCTGCTTTGGAAAACAGTTTGGCACTTTACTCAAAAAAGTTAAATGTGGAGTTAACATGTGAGCTAGCAATTCTACTTCTAGGTGTATACCCAAGAGAACTGAAAACATATATCTGCAGAAAAACTTCTTAATATTCAGTTCAGTTCAGTCATTCAGTCATGTCCGACTCTTTGCAACCCCATGAATCGCAGCACGCCAGGCCTCCCTGTCCATCACCAACTCCCGGAGTTTACTCAAACTCATGTCCATCGAGTCGGTGATGCCATCCAGCCATCTCATCCTCTGTCATCCCCTTCTCCTCCTGCCCCCAATCCCTCCCAGCATCAGGGTCTTTTCCAATGAGTCAGCTCTTCGCATGAGGTGGCCAAAGTATTGGAGTTTCAGCTTCAGCATCAGTCCTTCCAATGAACACCCAGGACTGATCTCCTTTAGGATGGACTGGTTGGATCTCCTTGCAGTCCAAGGGACTCTCAAGAGTCTTCTCCAACACCACAGTTCAAAAGCATCAATTTTTCGGTGCTCAGCTTTCTTCACAGTCCAGCTCTCACATCTTAACATTCACTGCAGCATTATTTATAATAGCCCCCCCCCAAAAAAAAACTAAATGCCCATCATCTGGTGAATGGATAAACAGAAGTGATATATTTATACAGTAGAATGTCATTCAGTCTTAAAAAGCAAAGAAAACTGATTCATGATACAACATGGATGAACCTTGAAACACTATGCTAAGTGAAAGAAGCCAGACACAAAAGACCATATATTATAGATGTTATTTATCTGAAAAATCCAGAATAGGCAAGTTCATGGAGACAAAGTAGATTTATGGTGTCAGGGCCTAGAGGGAAGAATTATGGGATCTGACTACTCTGGGCAGAGTGTTTCTTATGGGAATAATGAAAGTGTTCTGAACTTAGATAGTGGTATTGGTTGTACAACTCAATAATACTAGAAGCCACTGAATTGTTAAAAAAAATAAGTAAGAAAAAGCTACCAATGTCATGTCTAAAAGACACAGAAGTAAATTTGTAGAGACTCACCGGCCGGAAAGGAAACATTTATACCATGTAAATGCATATGTCAGCATCAGTAAGGATAATAACTACAATGAGTTAGAACAGTTCAAATATGTTTTAAATCTATGAGTTAGTAATAATGTCAAAAAATACAAAGCTTCTTAACAACTCAGTATTTAATTGTTAATAAAAGAGAAGAATTAACCATTTATCCTGCCTTTTCTCAGTTCATACAGTAACTATTTGATTGTATCACAAGGCAGCAAGTGTTTGATGTGGGGAAATTTCTCTTTCCTGAAGTTTAAGGAGTGGTGAGATTTAAAAAGCACTTTTTTGCAACCATAGTAAATTAGTGGAGCTAAGCAGTGATCACAGCATTTTCTAGTATCACCAGAAAAAGAGAAAACCAGGTATATATATATCTATGGAGTAGTAGTCTAGCCAAAACAGTATAACTTGAATCTGATCGGGCCCCTGTATCACACCACCAAATAGGGAACAAGAAGCACATTAAGGAACTCTGTGGGGATACCGTCATTAAAAATTAGACTGAGAAACTACAGGACATAAAAAGAATTACAAAGCCAAAAAAGAGAGAGAGAGGGATCTATAGATTAAAAGACACTTAAGAAACATCAAACAGTTGCAATGCATGGGCTGTATTTGGAGCTCAGTTCAAAAGTTAAAAAAAAATATTTTGCTGTACCTTAATTTTCAGAGTAGAATTTAAAAACCTATATTGTGTGGAGAACAAGTATAGAAATAGATGAAATATAAGACAGGCCACAATGTGCTAATTATTTAGAGGTAGGGTATTTTATTAGGAAGACATAGCAGTCCACTCCAGTATTCTTGCCAGGAGAATACCGTGGACAGAGGAGCCTGGCCAGCTACAGTCCATAGGGTCACAGAATCAGACATGACTGAAGCGACTTAACACACACACACAGGGTATTTTATTATATATTGTCTCCACTAAAGACTTATAATTATTTAGAATATAGTTTCAAATCTTGAAATATTTGCAATCAGAGATGACAGATTTAAGAAAACAGTTCTGAAATGAAGGTGTTACAGACTATTGCATAATGTAGCAGTAATTTAAACGTAATTGGACAGAGTTATAAGCAAGTTGAAAGTGTTATGATTGAAGGTATTTTATACCATGTAAATGCATATATGAAGTTACTCTGATAGAGTTTTGTTTTGATTTTTTTAAGGATGAGAGAGGCTGCAAGAAAAATAGAAGAAAGGCATTTTTCCAACCATGCAACACATGTTGAGTTTCTGCCTGTTGAGTGGCGGTCAAAACTTACTCTGGATGGAGGTACATTTTGTTTAAAAATTAAATTATTTAGTCAATGGGAATGAAGTGTTTGTAATTTATTTGTCTTGAGGTATACTCACTCTTTGTTCAGATTATTTAGGAAAATAAAATCCATTTTTTAAAAAAAATAAATAATTATATTGACTTAACATCATTTTGGACCACCATATAGATTTCTCTAATAGTACAGTTTTCATGAATGCCCTAACGTTTTTGACAGAAAAATGACTTGTCAATGCTTTTAAAGCATTTGTTGTCTCCAATTTCTTTTTTGTTGTTGTTGTTCTCTACAATTTCATATGAGCTTACAGTTTCTTCCTGGTAATTTTCCTCCTTTGTATTTGGAGGATAAAATCTTAGGTTTTCTGTTTTATTGTCGTTCCTGCATTCCTTGGACTGATGAATTTTACTCTAACACAGAGAAATTACATAAAATGTGCATCTTTCTTTACAATAAGTTTTGTCCTTTGAGTATTAAAATCATTAAAATAAAATGTTTAGGTAGATACTTTTGAACTGTGATGCTGGAGAAGACTCTTGAGAGTCCCTTGGACAGCAAGGAGATCAAACCAATCCTAAAGGAAATCAGTCGTGAATATTCACTGAAAGGACTGATGCTGAACTGAAGCTCCAATACTTTGCCCACCTGATGCGAGGAGCCGACTCATTGGAAAAGGCCCTGATGCTGGGAAAGATTGAGGGCCCAAGGAGAAGGGGATGACTGAGGATGAGATGGTTGGATGGCATGATGTGAGTTTGCATAAACTCTGGGAGATAGTGAAGGACAAGGAAGCCTGGCATGCTGCAGTCCAAGGGGTTGAAAATAGTCGGACATGACTGAGCAACTGAACAACGACAAAACGGAATAAGAGAAGATATTTGCAAATGATATGACCAATAAAGGGTTAATATCCCACAGTTTATATAACTTGACATCAAGAAAAACAAACAACCCAGTTAAAAAATGAGCAGAAGACCTGAAGAATATATACAAATGGCCAAAAGGCATTTGCAAAGATGTTAACATTGTTAATCATTAGAGAAATCCATACCTGTCAGAGTAACTATCGTCAATAAGAACACAACAATGGAGGCTTCTCAAAGTACTAAAAATAGAGCTACCATATGATCCAGCAATTCCACTCCTGAGTATATATTGGAAAAAAAAAAAATGAAAATACTAATTCAAAAAGTTATGTGCACCCCAGTGTTGATAGCAGCATTATTTATAATAGCAAAGGTATAGAAATAACCTCACTGTCCATCAACAGATAAATGGATAAAGATGTATATATACATCATAAAAAACAATGAAATTTTGCCATTTGCAGTGACATGAATGGACTTGTAGGATATTATGCTAAATAAGACAAAGACAAATAACTGTATGATATATATGGAATCTTTAAAAAAAAGCGAACTTGTGAATATAACAAAAAGAAACAGAACAAATAGGTGGTTACCAGGAAGAGAGAGACAAGAAAGGTGGAGGGGATTGAGAAGTACAAACTACTGCATATAAAATAAATAAGCTGCAAGGGTATATTGTATAAAATGAGGACGTTAGCCAATATTTTACAATAACTCTAAATGGAGTATAACCATTTAAAAATTTTGAGTTACTGTGTTCATCTGAAGCTTATTGTACATCAACTGAACATCAATAAAATTTTTTTAATTTAAAAAGAAAGATCCTTAGCTTGTTCGTGATTTAAAGGAAATGTTTTCAATCTTTCAGCACCAATAAGTGCATTAATGTTTGTGGTAGTTAAATACCCTTCATCATTTTTCAGTTAACAAATAGTAAAATTTCAAGAAGGTAAGTTTCATCATATTCAAAGGTAGTCTTGAATGTTTAAATTTTAATATAAAACACTTAGGGAATGTATTTTTTTCACTGTTTTTTCCCTAAAATTATCTTCTCTTAGTTCTTTTTTTTTTTTTAACTTGTAGACACTGTTGATTCCATTACTCCAGACAAAGTGCGAGGTTTAAGGGATATGTTAAACAGCAGTGCAATGGACATAATGTATTATACTAGCCCACTGTATAGAGATGAAGTAAGTATCATGATTATCTTGTTGCTATTGGGTATTTTTTAGAGTGATAGCATGTGTGTCCTGAATTTTAACATTTTATGTTCTCTTTTGTTTTACAAGCAAATGAGAATTATAGCCCCTATTTCATAGTGCTTTTGATAGTCTTAAACTGTCCATTGGGACCCTTAATGTTGTAACATGGTAACAATATTTTAACATGATAATCTTGGAAGTGAGAGTTTGGTTATAAAATAGCTCTGTGAAAATATGTCAGTTTTCATAAATCTGATTAATATCTTTGAGTATTGTCCTCACAAAAGTTTTGGACATGTAAGAGTTTTGTATATAATAGGCCTACTTCTATTGTGTCATTTCTGTGGTGGATTTGTATAGTTCTCAAATGGTAATGGTGCTCATACATCACAAAAGTAACCCCAAAGGGGGTGAGGGAGTGAAAGTTTAATCAGAGGGATGAGAGAATTTCTGTGAATGCAATTTGTCACTTCACTGGTAAGAAAAAAAGAATTCTGTTTCATGGAAATAGCAGTATTAAGTACCCAGCATGTATTAACTTGTTTAATTCTTACCTATGAAGTCAGTATGACTAGTATCTTCATCTGAAGGATGAAGAAACTAGTATAAGGAGTAATTACCAGTAGGGCAACTGTGCTGCTCCAAGCCAGTCCTTCGCGGATTTTGTTCATTCACATTCATTCCCTAACTTTATCCAAGATATCTTTTATATATCTATAGAAACATGTTTGCTTAGTTGCCGTAGGAGCTTCCTTCTCTTCCAACTACCATTCCCTTAGGATTTTTCTTTATTTCTCTTTCTATATTCCCCATTGCCATATACCAGTATTGGGCAAGGTTTGCCTTGATCTATTTGAAAACAGTAAAAGCAGCTACAGGCTTCTCAGGTGGTGCAGTGATAAAGAATCCGCCTGCCAATGCAGGAGATGCAGATTTGATCCCTGGATCAGGAAAATCCCCTGGAATAGGAAATGGCAACCCGCTCCAGTATTCTTGCCTGGAAAATCCCATGGTCAGAGGAGCCTGGCAGGCTACAGTCCATGGGATTGCAAAGAATTGAACATTACTGAGCACACACACACAAGAGCTGCAAGCAGAACAGCTCTTCTGGACTTTGTTGTTCAGTCACTCAGTCATGTCTGCCTCTTGGCAACCTCATAGACTGCAACACTCCAGGCTGCTCTGTCCTTCACTGTCTCCCTGACCTTGCTCAAACTCAAGTCCTTTGAGTCGACAATGCCATCCAACCGTCTCATCCTCTGGACTTAATTCTGATCAAAAAGAAGGCCTAGTCGGTGAAGTAGAATTCTAATACCTTCCATGTTTATAGGCCTTTATAGTGTACAGTGAGTATTGAACTATAGTATTGCAAGTAAACCAGTGAGGAAAGGAAAAGAGAAAGAGAAGGGCTGAAAGCATATTACTCTACACACACACACACACACACACACACACACACAGAGTTGGTAGTATCCCTAAGAAGGTATCCTGAGTCTTCAAGACTAACATGCTCTGAGTCATGTCCTCCAAAAGTAGTATGTGCTTTTTTAAAAGTTGACATTAATATCCAGAAAAACTAGAAAGGGAAAACTGTCACATTCAAACCTCTGGCCATTGGTGAATGATGACTGAGAAAGTGATCACTTTTTATTTTGCTCTTGTATCTTCAAAGATATTCTCCTCAAAATGGAATTGAGTAAAAGAAGGGAACTGATAGCTAATGTAAGTGAAATGGAAGGAGAACACCCAGGTCTTTAAATTTGTTGGTTTTTTGATCCAGTTGAATTTAATGGAAGAGAACTGAGAACTTGTTTCTGAGATTCATCCGCAATCTTCAGCAGTGTTTCCAAAACATGCCTAGTTAGAACAGTCACTTGTGGTGCCCGTTAAAAATACCCCCATGGGGGGCATTGGAGTTGAGGATATTAATGTGAATTTATGACTTTGAAAATAAGTGGATGTATGTGGATAACATCTATATATTTAAGCATACATGTTTAAACATATATATGTTTATGCATGTATTATGCATGTTATGCATATATATATATATATGTGCATGTATTTCCTACCTCTGTCCACTGAAAGGACTAAGAAGCAGACACCCCAACTTAATGAACACACCTAGCACCCAGATCTTTGCCTAGTACGGTTACTCCCCACTAAGAAAAAGTAAGAGTTTCTTGGGAAGATGGCTTCCAGGACTAGGGCAGGAGAGGTTCAAGTCAAAGCTGAAAGAACTTGTTTTGACAGAAGGTGGAAAACTGCTCAAAAGAATGATGAGGCAAGATGCATGGACACAGAATGATTTAAAGAAGCAGATCCCACTGACCAAATCTGGAAGAATTTGAGCACCAAAATAATTAAGTAAATATTATTATTTATTGTAAGCGTCCCAGATGGTTCAGTGGTAAAGAATCCACCCGCAATGCAGGAGACTTGGGTTCAATCCTTGGATCGGGAATATTCCCTGAAGAAGGAAGTGGCAACCCCTCCAGTCTTCTTGCCTGGAGAACCCCATGGACAGTGGAGCCTGGTGGGCTGTACAGTCCATGGGGTCACAAAGAGTCATACACGACTTAGCAACTAAACAACTATTACTTATTGTAAGGAATTACTAGTATATTTTATAGAATTATAATAAGGTTAATGTAGTTAAGAATTTTAAATCATTGAAAAATTTGTAAGTCCTTATCGCTTATAAATAGATAAGCAAATTCGGAAGAAGAGAGAGGTCCTTTGCTTACAGTAGAATGCCCAGGGCTTACTGGTGAGTGTGGAAGGACAGCTGGAGGAAAGGGCTCATTTTGCAGCCGTCGTCATGGTAGGATCAGGCAGGAGAGTACTGGGCAAGAGTCATTCGTGAATGCTAGAATGAGGGGAGTTGTTTGATGCGGAACAGAGTCTTTGCATAGTCTTAAAGTGTATCCTCTCAGACTGCTTTTAGTTTAAAAATAATGAAGGACTTCCCTGGCAGTTTTGTGGTTAAGACTCCCATGTTACACTGCAAGGGACATGATTAATCCCTGGTTAGGGAACTTAAGATCTCACATGCTGCACAACCAAGGGGAAAAAAAAAGATCTTTAAGCAACACTAACTAAATCATGTCACTCCCTGGGTTAAAATCTTTGTTGACTCTCATTAGAATAAAACCATAATTAAAGAAAAAAATGGAATGGCTTTTTAAAAAATAAAGGTATACAGTGGAAAAATCAAGCAACACCTTTATGAGTTGTTTCTAAGGCACATCCAGAGGAGGACACAGCATAATTTTCGCAGCATTCCAATTAGGAGGAAGCGTCAGACAAGTGTAGAATGAGGATGTTGTCATTTAAAAGTAGGAATTAAGACTGTATTATTTTAAAATGTTGATATAATAAGGAAAAGAATGGCTGTGGAAAACGTTTCAGATATAGAAGATTAGAGAGACATAGTTAATTTTAACTTCTCATACTAAACTATATACTATACTAGATCAGAGGAAACACTACAAAGGGTATTATTAGATCAGCTGACAAAATCTGTATGGGACTAGATTAGATGAAATATATGAATGTGAATTATGAATTTAATAACAGCACTGTGGTTGTGGAAGTCTTAGGAAATATACACTGGAGTATTTAGGGGTAAAAGACCCTGAAATATATAACATGTCCTTAATGGGTCACAAAAAAGTTCTGTGTGTGTTAATAGAAACAGAACAAATGATAGGGCAAATAGAAAAATGTTCACATTAGGTGAGTCTTGGATAAAGCCTGTGAAAGATCTTTGTACAGTTTTTTATTTTGCAACATTTTATAAATTTGAAATTACTCCCAAATGAAAAGTTATGAAAAAGAAACTAAAAAACTACTCTCGCAGGTTCCTTCTCTGGAGATCCTGACTCAGTGGGTCTGAGATAGAGCCTGGGAATTTGTGTTGTTGACAGTTAGCAGGTGATACCATCAGAAAAGTTTGGCAAACATTGCTTAAGTCATTGTGAAGAATGAAAGAAAATAAAAAAGACTTAGAAGTAGGCAAAAATTGTTCTTATTCTTTAAAAAGGAAAGCTAATTCTGCAAATCGAAGTTCATTTAGCACAAGGTTGATGTTAGGCAGGGCTTCCCTGATAGCTCAGTTGGTAAAGAATCCACCTGCAATGCAGGAGACCTGGATTCAATCCCTGATTTGGGAAAATCCCCTGGAGAAGGGAAAGGCTACACACTCCAATATTCTGGCTTGGAGAATTCCATGAACTGTTTGGTCCATGGGGTCACAAAAAGTCAGACACGACTGAGTGACTTTCACTCCTTGGTGCCAGGCAATATCTAGACTAAATTATTTTTCAGTAGTATATGTTTCCTAAAGGAAGTAATGACAAATAACAGCCAGCAGCAATTCTGTAGGATTAAGGCCTGTCTGGTGAATGAACCTTGTTAGGATTATTTGATAGGCATAAATAAGAGCCTTTTTCCTCTTCTTCTCAGCCTTTGTAGTCAAATAGATGCAGTTTTAAAATCTGCCACTTAACTAGCTTAAATAAAGTTTCTCAGTTTCTCAGCTTCCTCACTTAAAACAGACATAAACTACACAGCTGATAAAGGTTGTCCTGGGGCTTCCCGGTGGCTCAGCAGGGGGCACGAGTTAGATCCCGGGTCGGGAAGATCCCCCGGTGGAGGGAACGGCAACCCGCTCCAGTATTCTTGCCTGGAGCATCCCGTGGACAGAGGAGCCTGCCGGGCTGCAGTCCGTGGGGTCACAAAGAATTGGACACAACTGAAGCAACTTAGTACACAAAGATTGTCATGAGGATCAAAGATATTATGGTATAGTTTCCAGTACAATTCTTTGTGCTTAGATTTTCAAGTTGTAATTAAGTGTATATCTGTCTTTATGTATTTCAAGGACTACCATTTAAAAAAAGGAATAGATTTATTCTGTTAATTCTAGAAAGTAAAATAAGGATCTGTGAATTGAAAATATAGAAAGGAACATGTTTGATTACTCAATGAAGAACTGTGTAATAACTAAAGCTGCCTTAAAAACACAGAAGTGTTACAAGGAAAAAAAATTGTAAATAATGTAAGCTGATGGATTTTAACTAAACTTACTGTGTAATCCACAGTATTAATATTGATATCAAATCATTACATTGTACACTTGAAACTTACACAATGTATATCTCAATTATATCTTGATAAGACTGAGGGGAAATTTTTTTTTAATAGAAGTAACCACTTCTGGATAAAGGTACTACTCACTGAGGTGGATGCTGAGCTCTTTCTCCCTTTACACGGGTGTTACTGAAGGGACTTTAGCTTCACAGGAGTTTGAATTAAATCATCTCTGAGGCCCCTTTTCTCTCAGATTTCTTCAGTGCTCATGGGAGGACCCTAATTAGTGATTGTGCACTGAAAAGTTGTGCTTCGGGGAAAATTTTTGTATACTGAACAGTACTTCTCAGGTCATACTTTCTGAGGACCAGGTTTTGGTTTTTTTTTTTTTTAAAGGAACTAACTCCAGTCTATCAAGACATGATTAGAGAACCTTTGGCTCTTTTCTTCAACCCTAAATAAAGTAACATGGAAACTCCAGAGGGAACTGTGACCTCTTTTGTGCAACAGAACTCTCTTTTCAATGGCTTTTTAAAAATGAAGAACTAAAAAGAGAATTGTCATGGTCCGATCTTGCCATTGCTATTTGAAAATTATTTAATTGATGTATATGACTAAAACTCAATAAATTACTTTTTCTCATTAAAATTTCCTGAAGGAGAGAGAAGGACAAATGACTACTTATGTTCTTCAGCCATATTTTAGGTGTTTAGAATCTCTCTTGAAACTGCTGGATTTTTTTCCATTTTGGTTGACTTTCTTGATAAATTTTAATTTTTGAGCAATGGTTATGAAAATTAGAAACTTTTAAACTTTTTTTTTTTTTTTTTTNTTTTTTTTTTGTTTTTTTTGGTCTTGCTTAATCTCACAAGACCTCCAAAAATTGTCTGGTGGTGTAAGGTTTCCTTTCTTGCTTCTACATGAGTTAGTCTGCACGGCAATGCCGGAGACTAAGCTCAAGTAGAAGCAAGAAGGGCGGCACAGATAAAACTTTTAAACTTTTGAAGAGCCATCTAATGCTTTCTCTGTGTGAGAGGTTAGCTAAATTGATTAGATAATATTATAGAGTTAATAAAATTAAGATAATAGGGTGTATCATTAATCTTGGATCAGATATCCCAAATGAATATAGTTGGTCACAAGGGAATCCTAGCTGGAGGAATATAAATGGATCAGAAAGGAAAGGGGAAAAACAAACCCTAATTAGAGTAGACTTTTTGGATATAACATTAAGGTGAATTTCTTCTTTTGCTGCTGAGTGGATGACTTATAAAGACCTTTAGTTAAAGGTTTTAAGTTCTATTATATATGGATATGTTCTAATAAGGGAACACAAAGACTAGTTCTAGTCACATAGAAGATTATTAAAACAGATGAAAACATCAGCACTTCAGAAACTATACATTCTCTGCTTCAGTCCATGGTAAAATACTTCATTGTTGAATAAGACTTTCTCTTTGTTGGATGTTTACTTTTTATGATTGCTAGATTAAGGAAGTTATTGGTATAATGAGTGATGCTTTAAATTTTTAAAATATGAAATAGCTTAATCACTGGTAGAGGCACTGGTAGATCTTTTCCATTTTTTACTATCTAATTTTAATGGGGGTGGTATTTAAAAAAAAAAAAAATGGGTTATCTTTTGCCAAAGTACCTAGGTATTCATCTGTTAGTGTTTTTGGACTTCATGGTAGGAGTTTTAAAATCAATCCCTTCAGAAGTAAACACTATCAACAAATGTTGCTTTTAAAGAGATGTATTTTATTGAAAAATTAGCTTTTTCAATACCTCCTTTCATGTAGATTATAAATTAGGAAAATTACAAAGTTTTAAGGGTTGGTTCATATTCTTATCAAAGCCAAGTCCAAAGCATTACATTATAGCTCCCTTTGAACAAAGCATGTAATTTCACATCATACTGCCTACTTTTTAAATTCTATTGACTAGAATTACCTACAACCCATGTCTTCAGATATTTTTATATGCATTTACCACTAAAGTGTGGTCCCCAGAATTGCTGAATCTGAAACTCTAGGATGGAGCCTAGCAGTCTGTATTTAACAAGCCCTCCAGACCATGTACCTGGTTTCAGTAGCTTTAACAAGGACCTCAGTATTGTACAGTAGAGGTCTGTAACCCCTGTGAGGTTAGCAGCCTGAACATGGCACCTTCATTCAACTCAATGCCAGCCCAGCCAAGCATGACTGCTCAAATAATTTCCAGTTTGATTCTGCTAAAGAATGTTCAGTGAACCAAAGGGAGGTGACTTGTCTCTAGAAACAGAATAACAAGATATGGAAGCAATTAATAATGTTTGTATGTCTGAATAACAGCTGATGTATTAACAAGAACTGAAATGAGAAATTGAGTATCAGGAAGTTTATAACCAAATAGTAGTAAGCAGTGATAGGAAGAGGAGAGGACTACCTGAAAAATCAGGTCAGGGCCCTATATGAATGAATTTGAGTTACAAAAGAACCTTGTTCTTCTCACTTCATAGAATACTTCAGTAATATTTATTAAAGCTAAATTTCAAAGAAAGCAGTTTTATAAAGAAAAATGGCTAAGATATTTTCCACATTATTAACTTCTAAACCTTAAAAAATTCCTACTTTTTAAAAGTATTTAAAAATACTTCATATTACCAACATAATGGGAATTTTGGAATATGGAGTACATCAACATAACCATTTTCCTTAGTCATACAGTGACCTTTCATTACATTACTCTTATCTAAATGCAGCAAGTAATAATGCATATAATATATTGCATATACAATATGTTAGTAACCCTATTATCATAAATTCAGATATTCTTTTCCTAAGCTTACTGTGGCTTAAAAAGTACAGGGTACAAGACTTTAGAATAGTATGTGAGTCCATTACAATGAAGAAAAAATATCCAGAGGCTTTTTGGAAATCTTACTAGAATCCGCATGGAACTTTTTTTTTAACACATGAAACTGTTGGCTGCAGTAGTTGGTTTAAGAACTGTGAAAGGATCTGTGTGGGTAGCATCTGTCTTTATTCTTTAGTGTTGCTATGGATTATAATATTATGTATACCTTTACATTGGGAAGATCCCCTGGAGAAGGGAAAGGCTACCCACTCCAGTATTCTGGCCTGGAGAATTCCATGGACTGTATAGTCCATGGGGTCGCAGAGAGTTGGACATGACTGAGCAACTTTCACTTTTACTTTACATCATTTCCTGTAGGGTTCTGAAGCAGCTGAGTTAATTTTAATAATCTAGATATATCTGTCTAGTGATATATTTTTCTTTCTTAGCATATTTGAGTTTAGAAATAACATTTATAGAAGTGATTATTCTAATTTAATGTTTTCTTATTTGAAACAGCTAGTTAAAGGCCTTCAGCAAGAGCTCAATCGATTATATTCCCTTTTCTGTTCCCGGAATCCAAACTTTGAGGAAAAAGGGGGTAAAGTCTCAATAGTGTCACATTCCTTGGGATGTGTGATCACTTATGACATAATGACTGGCTGGAATCCAGTTCGACTCTATGAACAGTTGCTGCAGAAGGAAGAAGAGTTGCCTGATGAACGATGGATGAGCTACGAAGAACGTCATCTTCTTGATGAACTCTATTTAACAAAACGACGGTAAAATAGACTAATCTCTTAAAAGAAATTAAAATGTCTTCATGGAATCACTGGACTTCTTAGTAGAAAACTTCAGATTTTTCATAATAAAGAAAAAATACACTGTTTAGGGTACAGAATAGGATATTCAAAGATTGTTAAATAATATGCCTAATCAAGCAAAAGACTATTAATTTTGATACTAATTACGTGTGTTTTCCTACAATTACCGTCTTCCTCTTTTTGCTTTTCTTTTTCTTCACAGTTTATTAGAAATGAAATCTAAAACTTATTCCATGCTGAGTCACTGTATAGAAGCTGATGAGCCTCCATCTTTATTATTATTCTGAAAATAATTTTAAAGCCCTTTTTTCTTATCAGATATATTTTAGACAGATTTTATAATTATTTAATCATTCACAACCTTTCTGATCTATCTTTTCTAGTTGGATTCATTATCTATTTTTTTCTTCTGATACAACTGGTAGATAGGTTAATTGAACAAAATATAAAATGAAAATCAAGTAGAAAGAAGAGTATAAAAATCACACATAATCTCACGTGAGAACTGTTAATGTGTTAGAATATTTTCTTTAAAAAATAGTAAATATATATACTATTTTATCAGAGGCACTTCAGAGATTATAAGTATCCATTAAGTTAATAAGCCCCTGATTCTGTTAATCCTGGAATATGCCTGATACTGTGTTTTAATTCTTTGCTACATTTCTATCTTCATCTCTAATTACATGCTCTTGTTCTCTTGATGGTCATTCAACTGACTCTAATATAATCTGTGAAATGTCACTCATTTTGATAGCATTATATAAAACAGCCAATTTAGTTAACTTAAACTTTTATTCAGGAAGCATTGAATTTATTTTAGTCGTACAGAAATTGTCTAAGGATTTCATTAGAATTTTATTAATAAGTACCATAGGGAAAATGCATAAATTTTATAGTATCAAAATAGCTAATAGTTTTGAGAGAAAGTGTCATGTTGCAAACTTTAGCACTGTGTTTTTTGTGTTTTGCTTTTGTAACACTGTATTTTAGACAAATTCAAGTTAAAATGTTTTTAACAGGTTTAGAAAATGAACTGAACCTTTTTAAATTTGTTCCATTGTTTATTAAATGTAAGTACATACAGAACATTGTATTAGGAAAAAAGTGGAAATAACTCAAGTGTTCATCAACAGAGAAAGGCTAAACTGGGTTTATCTACATGATGGGCAATTAAACAGTTGTTATAAAGAGTGAAGTAGGTTAGGAGGGAGTGAAGTAGGTTAGGAGGCAATGAAGTGAAAAGATTGCTAAGATTCATTATTAACTGTAGAAAAAGGAAAGACATAGAAAAGGGTATGTGGTGTGAACATTTGGTATGGTTTTTTTTAAAGTGTATATATGCTTGTATGTGCCTCACATTTTACTAAAGATTCCCCCCACCAAAACCTATTAACAGCATGTATTGGAAGAACAGGGTACTTTACTAATTATTTCATAAACTTTTATAAACTTTCTGTACTACAGCAAGTTCATTTATTAAATACTGTCAAGAATTAATTTGAGAGATTGGATAATTTCTTTATGCTTAGTGAACTAGTGAGCATCTAATACTTAAACGAAATTATGAATATGAATGTGTACATAATCTCATACTCCTCCCTAGGCTGCGAGAAATTGAAGAACGGCTACGTGGTTTGAAAGCATCATCTATGACACAAACACCTGCCTTAAAATTTAAGGTAAGGAAAGACAGATGAGATTTTCATTGTTTATCTCAATTTTTTTTTCAAGCATCATTTAAAGCATGACGTTAGGGATCAAATGAAATCCTAATTCTTTGAAGTGAGTCTTTTTTTGAACCCTTACAGTGTGTTGGACCCTGCTGGTTTCTAGATTCTACTAAGAAAAGAATGGACAAGACTCAAAATACATAACACAGCGTTACTGGGGCTATTATATAGAATAATATGTAGGCACAAGAAGGAGGTTTAATTTTGCCTAAAGGTTTATAAATGAATGACATTTGTATTTAATCTCTGTAAATTGGGTATTGCCAAGTAGAGGAAAGAAGAAATGCTCTGTTCTTAAAAGAAACAGCATAAACAAAGGCATGGAGGGATATAACTCATAGTACATCCAAAAACAGAGACAGATCTGGGAAATAGCTAATATTTAAAATTAAATGTTTGTGACCAACTAGTTTTATATGGTAAGAAAAATAACTGGAAGTATATCAGTGATGATTCCACAGATGGAAAGCTGGCGTGTCAGCTTAAGTGTATGACAGAAGCACAAGATGTGCATGTAATGCAGTTAGTTTGGAGCAAGATGAGCAAACCAATTCAGCTAGAATATACAAGATGCAGGGCATAGGGGCTGTGGGAAAGTAGGAAGAGAACTTAGATTTGATGGGACAGTGGAAAGCTTTTCAGGGTTTTTGAGCATCAGAATAGATCTGTCTTAGCAGTGGTTTAAAGAATGAAAAGTAGCACAGAGACATTGACATTGGCCTATTGGAAAGGACACAGCTTATAGCTGAATAACAGCTGCTTATTTGCAGTGTTAAATGGAGCATGACATAAGTCTCCTAATACTCATTTCCAGTTGAATATATGCCCATGTCTAGTGTACTGTGTTATCTCTTCCTGATACCTGTTTCTTTTATCATAGGAACTTAACATATGGGTTACATGATGGAATGATGCAGACATACTTATTGAATCTATTTCTCTGACTTCTAAAGTTTTTTTTTTTAACTTAAACATTTAAAAGCCATATGATAAAGTTATAAGATACATTCAAAACCCATAAGAGCATGGTCTTTGGAGTCACCCCCACCTGGAATTTGAGTTCCATATCTACCACAATTATTATATATAATCAATGTTAAATATGTAGAATTGCTCTGATAGGAAAAATAAACTCTTCTATTTCATGTCCTGGGTTTTGTTGGTTGTGATCCACTAAGTATGTTAGAATCTCAAAATTCAAGTATCACCTTACTAGAATTTATGCCCTTGTCAGCCACAAATTGGCACTTGGCATCTACCTCCATAAGGATTAAGTCATGTGCTGCTGCAGCTGCTAACCTTCAGCAGCCCCCTGAAAGGAGCTCAGGGTGAAGAGCAGAAATGAGGCATTCTGTCCTCGGGGCAGGGGGGCGGCTGGTTGGAAAGACTAGCAGGACAGGTCTTCAGATGGCTAGGTAATTTCCAGAGCCAATTTTATGAGCACAATTCTTGTATCTCCTCATGTCTTTAAAAGCACTAAGATCATTCATAGTGATGACTATTCCTCGTGACTAGCAGAAACCTTCTGAAAAAATATGTGCTTGACTGCATGTATTCCTTCTTCACCAAAATCACATACATACTGACCTTCCCCCCTGCATCTTTGCAACAGTTTCTCAAAGCTGCCTGAGGTGCTGTCTCCCAGGATGCAGTCCTCATATTGCCCCAAATAAAACTTAACTCACAACTTTACTGTTGCATGTTTTTTCAAGTCGGCACCCTATAGTTGGTATATCTTTCTAATACATGGTCATGTGGTCTAATAATGTGAATTTTTAATTATATAATTACTTACAGAGAAAAATATATAGATAACTGAAATTTAAAATTCCTAGGTGGAAAAGTGGTAAAGAACCCACCTGCCAATGCAGGAGATGTAAGAGATGCTGGTTTGATATCTGGGTCAGGAAAATCCCCTGGAGAACGAAGTGGTCATCCACTCCATTATTCATGCCTGAAGAATCCCATGGACAGGACAGCCTGGCAGGCTATAGTCCATGGGGTTGCAAAGAGTCAGACACAAATGACTTAGCATACACACACAAAAAGGAATATACAATGCATTGGCAAATTTATTTAGAACTCCAGAGTTCTAAAAGAAACAGAAGTCTTATATGCCTGTTACCTGGCAGATGGCTTTACTTTCAGAATAAAGTATTAGATTTGTCACATGTGACCACTGAACTTTAAAAAGAGCAAAAAAATATTAACAAACATTGGTCTGAAGAGTAGAAAACTTTGATTGTGATCATGAGGCTTTGCCACTAACTAGTTATGTAATATTAGCCAAATTACTTAACATCTCTGAATTCCAGAGTACTTAGACTAAATATCTAAAGCATTTCTTCACCCATAAAATTCTTTGACAGCTGTAGATAACACTAAAGCAATCATTACTCTTACTGGAGAGATAAGTAATTCCTTTGTGTTTGTCAACCAAGCTGCAAATCAATCATAAACGAAGAAAAGTCGTTTAATCCATGGGTTTAATGATTTAACAAACATTTATGAAGTGCCTAACCAATGTATAAACCATTTTTCTGGGGTGTACGTGTGTGTACACACATGCATGTGTATATCAAGCAGAAAGGATTTACAGAGCTTTCTCTTCTATCTTAACTATTTTTGTATCTTTATCTTTTATTCTTTTCTCACTTTATAGAAGAAGAAATGAGAGGAATCTTTTCAGAATTGGTGCTTTCATCCCTGTCACTATTATTCCAGATGCTTTTTCTTATATTTTTAATTTTTCTTAATACAGTTCTTCAGCCTTCAAACATCTTTAAGTTACTCCATTATTTAAAAACAAAAACTTTCTTAAAGTTTATTTAGCTTAAAGCTACCATTTCAAACTATGTATTCATTCATATATATTTTTTCACTTGGGAAAAAAATCTCCAGGGGCATGGGAAGAGATTAAAGGTGTGTAAGATTGGAGGCAGGGACACTGTTACAGTATAGTCCAGAGGAGAAGAGATGAAGTGAAATGTTAGAATCTGTTGGAGTGACTTCTTAAATGTTGGAGATAAGAGGGAGGAATTAATTTGTGAGATCTTGAATCAAGATATGGAACATATGCAAGAGGTAAAGTGGGTTTAGGAGGGAAAGCTATCATGTTCTGTATGTAATCCAGTACTAATGACGGCCCTGTTTTTCTTGAAGCGCTGTCCTCCCTTGACTTCCATGCTGCTGCATTATCCTGGTTCTCTTTCTCCTTTAACCCTCTCTTCTGTAGTTTTATCTCCACCTACTCATGAGGTACGGATGTTCCTTAAGTTCTATCTAAAGCCACTTTATTCTATGTGATTCCTAAGCAGTTTTATCCATTCTCTCAGTGTTCATCACTTCTATGATGGTGACACATAGACTTGGATGATGACATATTCAATTCTGTATCTCCTATCCGAAATTCTCGGTTACCTGTTAGGTATGTTACAGATACCTCAAACTAATTATGAACAAAAACATGGTTTACTTAGAGTTTCCTGTTACAGTTCGTAGGTTAATTAATATCTTCCCGGTCAATCAGACCCAAATCTTACAAATCTCCTCTGACTCCTTCTTTATCCCTGTCTCCATTCAAATATTTATGTTGATTCTATCTTAATCTCTCAAATTTCCATTTTGAATGGAACAACTTGTCCTCCTAGGTACAGATTATCTTCTGCCTAACCTCTTTCAGTAGTTTCCTAACTTGTCTCCAAAGTCTACTCGCCTCTTAATTTTTCAGTTCATTCACAAGCTACTACCAGATTTACTAACCTCCTAAAACGTGGGTCAAATCCTGTTCTCTTTCACTATAAAATAAATTATGCTCTGTTTTCTTAGTCAAACAGTCAAGATTCTGTACATTTCTCATTCCAGTTATGTTTTCCCCATAGCCAGTCTTCAACCTTATCAGATTGTTGCCCTTCTCTAAATTAAGCCAGGTTCTTTCCTGCCTCTGCTTTAGTTCATGTGGTTCTATCAGTATAGAATATCTTTCCAGCCCCCAGTGTATCCCAACCCCAACTTTGGAAATCCTCTTCATCTCTTACGGCCAGTGTACATCCTTTATCTACTCACCTGCAGCACGCTTTCCCTCTATTGTGCACTATTTTAGTCTCCTCCACAGGATTGTAAACTCTTGGGTGCAGAAGCTCAGCCTTATTGGTCTATATATGTTTCAGAATACCTAATATTACTTTACACAAAACAGTAGCTTAGTAAGTTTTCCTTCTCCTTATTCTCATTCTTCATTTTCTGTTAGATTTAAAGATTCTGAAGCTGCTCCTGGATAGTTTAAAATAATCAGTGGTTGTTATATATTTAACAAGTAATGCAAATACAATCTAGACAGAACTCATTTAAAATGATATATATCTGGAGATAATTTTACTATTTGTATTTTACCATATATTACATTGTGTCCAAATTCTTTGAAAAACAGTTCACCATTTTTAAATTTAGGGTGACTTTATCATTGTAGGTTGAAAATTTCTTCTGTATGGGATCCCCACTAGCAGTTTTTTTGGCATTGCGTGGCATCCGCCCAGGAAACACTGGAAGTCAAGACCATATTTTGCCCAGAGAGATTTGTAACCGATTACTAAACATTTTTCATCCAACAGATCCAGTGGTGAGTTGTAAATATGGATATCTGTGTCTCAATATTAAATTTTTCCTAAGAGAATCTGTAAGTAATCTTGCAAGGTACTGCTGAATTGATGAGAAAGTATTCATTTACAGACATGTCTTATTTTATTTTACTTCACAGATAATGCAGTTTGTTTTTTTATTTTTTACAAACAAATTTTGTGGCAACCCTGCATTGAGTAAGTCTACTGATGCCATTTTTCCAACAGCATTATTTTTTAATTAAGGTATATATTTTGCTATTTAGACATAATGCTGTAGCATAGACTTTTAAGTATAGTGGAAACTTAACTTTTATATGCATTGGGAAACCAAAAAAATTGTGTGATTCACTTAATTGCAGTGATCTGGAAGCAAACGTGTGCAGTATCTCCAAGGTATGCTTTATCTATTACACTTGATAAGTTCGTATTTTTTAAATATTTTTCTTTGGTTAGTTTAGGGATTAGGAAGTAAAATACCTTAAAGATGTTCTGTTTATGTTGTATTTGTAGAATGAAAGCATAATGTAAAAATACCATCCAATTAATGGATCCAGTTTATCCAAAGGACAGGAGTCGTCTGAACTTTCAAACCTTAACCAGTTGTGATTCCAATAATGTAGTAGCCATAAAATTTAAAAATCCCACTTTAAATACTTTGTTCTCTAAAGCATGTTGCAACATTGAAATGTGTTTGGTAGATCCTCTTAAAAGTGAGAATATTTAAATACTGTGTATTAAACATGGAAAAGTGGAAGAATTTATTTTAGCCTGGTAGAATTACAACATTTTGGATTTTTGCGTTCTCTGTTATGTTTGTAAATAAATTTTTCTACTGTAAATAAATTAAAATTTTTGTAAATAAAAATAAACTTTTCTAATGTAAATAAGGATTTTGCATCCAGGTGAACAGTTTAATGTGAAATAAGATTTTTGGATGAGATAAATTCTTCATTAAATCATATTGGGGACAAGTATTAAATATAACTAAATTTAAGGCAAACTATTTTAAATAGCATTTATTTTCTGAAAAACAGCTTTATATGACTCTGTAAAGTCTTTTAAAAGATCTTTGGCTAGTACCAAATAAATATAACATTGACTAAACACTAGAATTTTAGAAAATTTCCCGTATTTTAAAAAAATCAAAACTACTATATTTAACAAATAAATTTCACTGAAATGGAATCTAGTATTAAATTCAAATACATGACTATACAGTCTTGGCCAGGTCACTTCTAAGACTATCTATTTTTTGTCTATATGATGCAGATGATAATATTTTACCTCAGAGTTGTCAGGATTAAGTAAAACATGTGCAAAGCAGCTAGTTAGACCTTAAGTATATTGTTATATCCATTCATTTTACTGATTTTCCTGTAACTTAAAAGTGAGCTTAAGATTGTAGGTGAACTGTGAGCTATATTTTGTATAATCTTAAACTTTGTTATACAGTTGACCCTTGAACAGCTCTGGGGTTGGGGTACCAACCTTGTGCTCAGTCAAGAATTGGGGTGTAATTTTATAGTCACCTCTCCATATCTACAGTTCCATATCCACAGATCCAACCAATTACAGACCATGTAGTGCTTTAATATCTATTTCTGGAAAAAAAACACACACATATAGGTGGACCCATGCAGTTCACTCCTGTGTTGTTTAAGGGTCAGCTGTATTATGGAGGATTACAAACTCATCATTACAAATTATTTTTTATTATTCATTTTACAGTTTTTCTGTGATTTTTTTTTAATAGATCAGAACTGTGCTAGGCAGTTTTTCTAAACTTATCTATTCTTCCCAACATCCTTCTGAGGTAGTAGAAATTAGGAAGTATTATTTCTTTTCTACAGCTTAGGAAACTGAGGCTCTGAAACTTTGTGACTTGGTGAGTGTCGTATAGTTAATAAGTGACAGAGGCCAGAATATGAATGCAGGGAATTGTATGCCAAGTCCATTGCCTTTTCTGCTATATCATCCCTATTTCACCTTAGACAAACGGTCTTATATCATCATCTCATGCACTATATTAATCTGCTTAAAAATAGGGTTACCTGAGAGCTTAGATGTTAAAAATTGACCTTATTTACTGTGTTCCAAGTTACTGTTTACTGCTTCAGTTTTGTTCATGAGACTAATATTAATCTAATTGCTAGATATTATCAGAACATAATAAAAATGAATATTCCTCTGAAAAACAAGGTCTTCCCTGTAGTTCAAACTTCCCTGTAGCTACAAGGTCTTCCCTTGTAGCTCCTGCCCGCAGGCAGGAGACCAAGGTTTGATCCCTGGGTTGGGAAGATCCCCTGGAGAAGGGAATGGCAACCCACTCCCAATATTCTTGCCTGGAGAATCCCATGGACAGAGGAGACTTGCAGGCTACAGCCCATGGGGTCGCAAAGAGTAGGACACAACTGAGCAACTGACATTACTGAAAAACTAATAAAAGGGCATTATTAGCCTAGATTAACTAATTTTTTTATAGTCTCATCATTAAGGATATATAATTAGACAAACTGCATATTATTAACAGTGAAGAAATAGGAATACATGTTAGGAATGTCAGGTTTTGAATCATTTCCTAAGGTCCTCTGAGCACACAGTCGAATAAGAATGAACAGTTTACTAAAACCTAAGCATTGTGCCTTAATGTTTTGTTTCTTTGAATTTTTTTACATCAAGGCTTATAGATTAGAACCGTTAATACTGAAACACTACAGCAACATCTCACCTGTGCAGATCCACTGGTATAATACATCCAATCCTCTACCTTACGAGTATATGAAGCCAAGCTTTCTTCACCCAGCAAAAGATCCTACCTCAGTTTCAGAGAATGAAGGCATCTCAACAATACCAAGCCCTGTGACTTCGCCAGTCTTGTCTCGCCGACACTATGGGGAATCTATAACAAATATAGGCAAAGCAAGCATATTAGGTAATTTCTCTTCAGTATTCTTCATCAATGAACTTAAGCACTTTTATATAGTCATTAAATTTTAGGTACCTGAAAATATATATTACAAAACATCTGAGAGTTAATGTTTAAGTTAACTACTCTCACTTATATTTGAAGACAAAAGCTCTAAATTCTCTAGTTAGATCAGATCCTGTAGTTAGAGAATATAAGATACCTGGATGCACACACACACAAAAAAGCTGGAGGCCTCAAGTCCCTCATTTTAAAAACCTTGGCCCCATCACTTGCTGTGAAATCTGGAGAAGTCATGTAGTTTTTAATGCTCATCTCCCTCATCTGTGAAATGAGGGGGTGCTTGAGTACTAAGGGTGCCCTGGCCAACCCATTCTCTGATCCGTGTCCACAAAGTCAAATCGTGTCCTTCTTGAGAGCAGCAGGGATATTGAATTTCCCTTTGCGTGGTCTCTAGTTCCAGCCACAATGTTTGGTGTGGCGCTGCGGCTCAATTGTGCGCCTCTTAATTTGTCCTTTGCTTTTGGTTACAAGTTGCCTTAATATAAAATGCCACAAGATGGCACTATAAACAGGCTCTATCTGCTGGATTCATTGATATTCATCATAGAGATTCATCATAGAGATTGTTTATTCACAGCTTTTTATAACAGATCCACTTTACTTCAGGAGTAGGCATATCAATAGTAAATATATGCCCATGTGAATGGCATGGTTCTTTTTATTAACATTTTTAATCTTACAGAATACTTTAAAAAATAAAAATCACTTGAATCAAATAGAATCTTTTTTTCTTTGTAGGCTGTATTCCTGAAGTTTGTACAACTCTCATTCTGTTCAACACCATTTTTATTTAGAAACCTACAATATAAATTGCAATTTTTTTTTGTTTCCACCCTGGAAAAACATGACTAGGGCTTAGTCTTTCTGCCAACTGACTGTAATTACGGGTGGTGCTCTTTAGCCTAGTATGTGGTGTAATTCAGCAGAATGACTGGCCTGTTTTGTGAAATGCAGGGGCTGCAAGCATTGGAAAGGGACTTGGAGGAATGTTGTTCTCAAGATTTGGACGTTCATCTGCATCACAGCCATCTGAGACATCAAGGGACTCCATAGAAGACGAGAAGAAGCCAGTTGCCTCACCGCCCATGACCACCGTGGCAACGCAGACCCTTCCACACAGCAGTTCTGGCTTTCTTGACTCTGCATGTTAGTTCATACTCTTCTTTCCAGGTTTTATACTGTGTCCTTTTTAAAACTGGAGGAAGACAAAGAACATTAAGATATTAACACTAGCAGTCCACTCTGTAATCTAAAGTATGCCCTAGCTTTTAAAGAAAAAAAATGCTTTTCCTCTACTTACATTTTCAGGAATAATTCCCAGGTAAATGCAGTTTTACTCTCTGCATGGGTGAAGTAAGTTAAGAACATTAATAAGTGCCTTGTCGCACAGAGATCTTATACATCAAGCATAAAACAAATCTCTTTGTGGTAAGCACCCTTGATTTTTTTAAAGTAGTTTTTTTGTTTTTGTTTTTAAACATGGTCTTCTCAGCCTTAAAAATTCATTTAGTTACTGCAGATCTATGCTGTATCTACTCTTGATACCGTTTTAAAAATGCTCTGCCAAAGCCATCCTGGTGCTAATCCCATAGCTCCCTTCATCAACCTAATTATAAAACCTTCAGAACTTTAATTGTATTGGATCCACTCTATGGCTTCCCATCCTGTCCCTGCTGCCTTGTGTAAAACTCAAGAAATGAGTGAAAGAATGGATAATTATTCTGGACTTGGCAATAGAATGATGCTTTATTTAATTTTTTCCAGTGAATTTATAAGGTCTAAAATCTTAATAGTTGTGAAACACTAAAACTCTTAGTGTATATTTACTTCTGAGGGTCTAAACTTAAAAGTTTATTTATAAATATCCAGTGCAATAAAACTAGTAAGTCAGGTCCTAGTTTCCATTGACTTACTTAAGGAAATATAGATTCTGAAACTAGTTATTTCCTTTCTGTAACTATAGCAGAAGAAAGTTTTATTTTTTTTCTCTAAAAATGTTTATTCAGATGCTTAGCTCTGTTTTCTTACTGTGTCTGCTGCTCTAAATTTTAAAATGACCAGCATTCATTGCCGTTCATAAAAAATTAAAAAGGAAGTTGAGATGTGACAGTCCTAGAGGCAGGGTCTTTCTCCATAGTCAGCCCCACTCCACGATGAATTATCCTAGCCATTGCTGAGTTGGACATTCCTGTTTGGACCAATTCCATTTTTTAAACTTAATCCTATGCCTGACTGAGTACTAGAAATTTTATAATTTCAAGCCTTTTGAACACTGCCTAGAAAATTCATTTTAGATTTTTATATTTGTACAAAATTCATATTTTTTATGAGTTACTCTACATTTATTGCTTAATAACAGAAATGAGATTGTGAAAATGTAAAATTTTGTTGCAACATGCAGATGTCAAAAGAAAACTATAAACGTCTGAAGAAAAATAACTTCAAAAAATTTGGTAAGATGGCCGGTAAAAAGCCACAATTCCTTGTAATGTTAATGCACAGCAATGATGCTAGTAAACGTTAGGGTGAATAAATGAACAAGAAGAGCAGGGTAGAATTTGAGCCCCTACAGAATTCTATAGGATCTGAGGGAAAAAACTGTCTTTTAGTGTTTTTGCTATTTAACTTAGAAATTTCAAAGTGATAATGATAATAAAGAAGAAACATTTCTTCTTCCAGGACATGTGAAGGTAGAAATGCTTAGTTTTATTGCATTATAATATTTTAACAAAATACGTTTTCTGTCATTCTTGCATCTAAATTCTTTGTTGGTTCTAATGGCAAATTACTTACCAACTATAGACTCAGCTAACTGAGCTAACATGATTTCTTAGTTTCATGTTTTCATCTTTAGATATAGATTTTTAAAGTCCAAAACTTTTAACATTGGACAACTGCTGTAGTAGAATTATGCCTTTTAAATCAAATCCTCTAGATGTACCTTTGACTTGCTCCAGTAATATACTCTTCTCTGTAATCCTGATTTAGATAAATTTCTTAAATCATAATTGCTATTTTGGCTGTATCTTGCAAATCATAAAACCTTTCTTCCTTAAATCTTCTTTCTGAAATTTGATCACTGTGGTTAGGTGATTCTGGCTTCCTTCCTTCTTGCTCACATTGATTGCCTCAGTTCTTCTCGATAACCTTCATTCTAAGGCTACTGACTTTGATTCTCCTGCTTTTTGAGGGTAAGATGGACACAGACTGAATTCGTGATCAATCAGTGTTTCTCTCTTTGAAGAGTTAGTGTTGTCAATTGAAACTACTTCGTTGACATCAAGTTGAAGCAACTTATATAGCTGCTGTTCATTTCTTTTTTCTGGTGGTTTTACTCTTTCTTTTCCTGTACTGCCTTGTGTTTGTATCATATCATGAAAAGAATTTGTTCCTTTTAGCACTGTTTTGCCTCTAGGTTAGAACTTAAGTGAACTATAAATTTGGGGGATGTTTGAGTGTTAACAGATTATGACATTGTATTTTGAAGTTAATTATGCTTACATTTTCCATGATAGAGCTCTTCACAGAAACCTAATTGTGTACTTCTTTTTGTTTGCTAGGTTTAATCAGCTTATTTGGGAGTATTGTTCTAACTTTTGGCCACTGCATCACTGAAGGCCATTTGTCACCATCAGCCAACACTTTACAGCATCTTGTGTTTTGTGTTTTTTTTTTTTCACAGATTTCAGACTTCAAGAATCGTTCTTTAACCTCCCACAACTTCTTTTTCCGGAAAATGTAATACAGAATAAAGATAATACCCTCGGTATGGTATATGTCAGGAATAGCATTCAGAACGCTATGAAAACTGTCTACTTAGATTTCTTCCGCTCACTGAAAACTTGATCAGTTTTTCTATGAGAGCAGCTTTAATGTTGCCATTAACAGACTATTTTAAATGTATTCTCTTCCTGTATTTCCTAATCTTAAATGGTAGTGGTCCTGAAACCTGACTATTCATTAGTTACTTAGTGTGCTAAAATATATCATACTCCTATATGCTTCTCCAAAGAAGGAACTGTTTAGAGATAGAAAAAAAGCATTAGGCCATTTTCTTTCTTCTCTATTGCCCTCCAGCCTTCAGAGAGCTTCACTGTTCTTTTCATGTAATATATTTAAATATAAAAGGATTTCAAAGTATAAAGAGTTTAATCATTCCTAGTTATTTCAGATATTAATAACACTACCCCTAGGGCTGTTAGTATGCCACAGATGATACCTGGTTTCAACACAAATATTTAATGGTCTTTAGAGGTATAGGCTTGCTTTGAAAAAAACTTATTATTGGCTACAAGAGATATTTTCAGTTTCCTGATTTTCAGCAGATTCAAAATGTATTAGTAAAGATTAATCTTAGCAGTTTAAAATTATTTTTATCATTAACTTCTCATTCCTTTTTTCTATATCTTTCTCTTTCCTTTTTTTAAAAATAATGGATTTGTCTTTAACAAAAAAAGTAAGTTACAGGTTTCTCCTTGGATTTTCAAACTGTATCTAATTTTGCAATTTCTATGTTTATAATTGCTAATTTTCATGCATTTTTTCTTTCAAAAAAAAAAATCTTCACTAGATATAGATTCCAAAACAGTGTGTCAGCATAACAAGCTGATTTGGGCTTTTGACTCTGTGACAGCAGTTTGTGTTGATCTAATTCAGTGAACTCCTCTCAAGAAATGATTTTTATAAGTGCTGTCTCTAGTCCCTACTCATATAATAGTCACTTCCATAAAGAAATAACTGATGTGTGCTTTTTGAATATTTAGAGAAAGGAAAATTAATCCATTCATCTGTTTGTCCTACATTCAAGTAGTCCTTTTATCCACTGCCTTAAAGCCATCCCAACTACCTAAGCAGTTAGACCACTCGTCATAACTGCACCACATTGATTCAGATGGTAATATGTATATGGCTTCTATTTTCTCTTCTCCCATGAGGCAAGTAGATAGTCACTAGAAGAGACACCAAGATGAACCCATTTCAATGCTGCCCATAAAGAAGTTAAATGCTGATGTGGAAACTTAAGTATATTTTAGAGGGCATATATTCTTGTAGGGAAGGTGGATAGCTACAGAAATAATATAATATATGGTAGAATTTGATGAACCTTATGACAGATTCTAAGGAGAGAGAAAACTGTTTTCACCTGGAGAAATAAAAAAAAGGTTTTGTGGAAGTACAACTTAAATAAGCAGAGATGAAGAGACATTTCAGAGAGAAGAAACAGCACAGCACAAGCAAAAACACAGAGATGGGAAGCACAGGTTATGTAGAGATCTAGAAGTTAGTTCTGAGAAGAACCAAGGTGAGTAGAAGGGACGAGTTCTGAATATGCTGAGGAGCGTTTCTCCATCCAGATGGTAGAGGATCCAGCAGATCTGGCCATCCCCAGGAGTTCCTTTGTATTCTTATGAGCCTGTGTTTCCCCAGATAGCCCATCTGTTGTCAAATGCTATAGGTGTCTGAATGTCTTTCAGAGTAGTTTAGTGTTGGGAAGTTTGGGGGTCAGAAAATGGCAACTAATTATAAAGTTCATTATGGAGTTTTTGCTACTTTTTTTAAATAAAGGATGTTTGAAGAATGTTTTTAAATATATTTGGAGCTATGATAAGTCACAAAATGTAAATACTCCTTGGATATCAAACATCTAACTACATAAAATATATGGTTGCTCTGAGACAGAGGAAAAATAAGATATAATTTATCAAGAACTCTGAACATATATTGCAAATGACTCTTTCATCAGTCATTTGGAAATCCAGTTTCCTTTACTAGTACTTTAAGTGGTTTTCTTAGTATGTACCTAGAGCCTAGAATCATGCAATTATGATCATAATTGCTATTTATAAATAGGTAATTTTTTAAGATTCATTAAGTTTTTGAAAATTTCTCTCTAGCATGTTAAGACACTCCCTCTAAATAGAAGAAACCTGTCCAATTGGTACACATTATAATACTAAAATGGTTACTTTCTATTCATGTATTTTGCTTTTTAACACCATATCCAGGTTGACAAGCCCTGTGCACAAAAGAACACTCTACTGAAAGCAGAGTGCTGAGGAATCTCTGCCTTCACCCTGGGTAGATGGCAGACATTTGCTTGGGGAATAAGGAGGGAAATGTGCCCATATGCATGACTCCCCCAAAAAGAAAAAGTGAAAGCGAAGTTGCTCAGTCGTCTCCAACTCTTTGTGACCCCATGGACTGTAGCCTACCAGGTTCCTCTGTCCATGGGATCTTCCAGGCAAGAATACTGGAGTGGGTTGCCATTTCCTTCAACCCATGTTTTAAAACAGTGAAAGCAAATTATTGATGATTGTTAAAGCTAGCAAAAAAATTTTTTTTTCATTTTTACCTCTCCTCAACTTTCAGTTCAGTTCAGTTGCTCAATTGTATCTGATTCTTTGTGACCGCATGAACCGCAGCACACCAGGCCTCCCTGTCCATCACCAGCTCCCAGAGTCTACCCAAACCCATGTCCATTGAGTCGGTGATGCCATCCAACCATCTTATCCTCTGTCATCCCTTTTCTTCCTGCCCTCAATCTTTCCCAGCATCAGGGTCTTTTCAGATGAGTCAGCTCTTTGCATCAGGTGGCCAAAGTATTGGAGTTATCTTAAATTCTCTTTTTGTAGGTACAGGCATATTAACTCGTAGGCACTCCAGAGAAAAAGATTAAGTGATTCTATGTTCTCCTCTTTCTTGACCTAATTCAGTGAAAGAAACTAGGAAAAAACTACTAACCTGTCTAGTGCCACCCCTTCTTGATACAATAATAATGAGAAGGCAGGTCCAAGGCAACTCCATGTAGATTTGGGCCGACTTCGGCCAAGAGCACATCTCACAGCACACGTAGAATAGTGCTACCATGTAGTGACCTCACACCATTGGGAATTCTGTGATCTACATAAAAAAGATGAGACATTGGCCCACCTACATCCATCCATCCACCCACCTGTAAAACCAACACAAATATGGTGTCAGCTGCAAACCAGACTGCCTGGGGTAAACCTTTTAAGGAAGATGAGAGACTGTAAAACAGGTTCATCAAGTACAAGCTGGTTACCTAATTTCCACTTTGATGGGGACTACCTACAGATAAATAGGGAGGGAATAGGGTAGGCCAATCTAGTTAATGACAGTTATTAAAGATCCTCTAGTTGATAAGGACAGGGACACATAATGGGGCATTAAATTTGTCATTTGAGTTTGTAGTATATGAAAGGCAGTGTTGCACAGTGATAGCACATTAAGAATACATTTCGGGGGCATAAAATCAAAGTGGAGCCAAGTAACACTGGTTATAACAGGAGAAATCTCCCTTTAACTTTAGAATGACAGTTGTTTGAGACTGTTGGACTAGGAAAGCATTCTACAGTGGCCTTTAAAAGGAATTCTTAGAAATAACATGGTATGGGCTTCACCAATTTTAGTGTGTATTTCCCATCTCTTCATTTTTCCTCATTTCTCCTTTTTTTTCTTCATAACTGACTTCACCTGGACTCCTCTTCACCATGTTTGAGAATTCATTTCTTCTTTTCATCTTCTTGTCTGTTGTGCCAGAATGTACCTACGAATTTTAACACAGATGTCCCATGAAATACGAAAGATAAAAGATTAAGACATTCCTACCCCACAGTTCAACATGTGGATTTCAACTATTTCTGACTTCTAATGGACTAGCTTATAATTTAAATGAGAAAAATAGCAGTTTTGTAAAAGGTCTATGTCAATATATTTCATAGTGCTTTATAACCTGATTGGGTATTTATACTGTTTAAGTGTAAATAAATCTTATCTAAAAATTTTTAGATAAGACCCATGGACATTCTTTGTCAGAAAAGCACAATTGAGTAGAAAAATAACTATAAATCACCAAATGGTATTGTTTAAAATATACATTAGCTAAACATTTATATGAAATCTTGCTCTAAAATGATGTGATTTGCTTTATGCGATTTCCAAACTTCGCAAGTAAAGCAAAACCCAACTTTTTCTCCAACCTCCTTAATTTTTGCCAGTTTTTACTTTTTATACCTGCTAGTACGCTGAACAAAAGAGCAGATTTTGAGTCTGAATGGTAGTGATTTGGGTACTTTTATTTTTAAGACAGACCCTTCATACTGTGTGGCTTATTGACAGTTTTTGAAGAATTCCTGAAGATGAGATTATTGTTTTTCTAAGTGTTTTATCTCTTAAGGATTTGTTAGATGAACCAATTGCAGTCTTATAGCCTTGGATTTGGTAAGGTGATTTTTCTCATGTGTTACAAGGACTTTGTGTGTGTTTTTAAAAAAACTTAATTTACTGAACTGTTTGAGGACAGCCCTGTTTAAATGAAGTCCTTCCTCTCAAGGGTTACCACTGTTCCTCCCAATTTCACTTTCCCAGCCAGTGGATTCTTGAGCACGTGTATGTCCCAGGTACATGTTTGGCCCTGCTGACAGGATCGAGACTAGAGTATGTTGTGGCCCTTTGAGGAATTCAGCATAATGGGGAGGAAAACACTGTAGGACTATAGTAGATGTTGTCTTCCAACATGTTCCCCTGAGCCAGTTGATGTAAAGAGGCTCCCCTGTGAAGGAGCCTTTGAGTGCCCTGTTGCACTCCTGCTGACATTACTGCATGTAAGGCTGACCTATCATTCTGCAAGAAGACTATTTGCCGTATCTTTCAGGTTAGGCACAAATTATAAATAGGAAAGCCAGTTTCTTTATTCCAAATATACTGTATGGTAGCAAGTGAGATTTTTTTCTTACTTTATTATTCCATACTGACCTGAACATACAAAGGAGAGGGTTCACCAGACAGAATCCTGAGCTACTGAGGCTCCTGAGTATTTTCTTCCCATAAGGTGAGAGTGGAAAGTCACTTTTTAAAAGATAGTAATAATAATTAGGAGAGTCACTTGTGTTTGGTAAATTTTTATTCTCCAATATAGTAAGTCTGTGTAGAAAGAATCTTACTGTGATACTTACTCATTTGTTTGACTTCTTTTTAGTGGAACTGGATCACAGAATTGACTTTGAACTCAGAGAAGGCCTTGTGGAGAGCCGCTATTGGTCAGCTGTCACGTCGCATACTGCCTATTGGTCATCCTTGGATGTTGCCCTCTTCCTGTTAACCTTCATGTACAAACACGAGCACGATAATAATGTGAAACCCAGTTTAGATCCAGTCTGAACCCTTGAAGGACATTAATGGCCCAAAACTGATTTTTTTCTTGTTAAATATGTGTGTCAAAATATGAAAGTTTCATGTTTAAGTATGTTTCAGTTTTGTTTAGGGCAAGAAATATTAGAATTTGAAAGCACTTTATTTTATTTAAAAAAGCAGAACAAATGTTCAGTTTGAAAGAAGTTATTTATAATTTTCATCATTTTAATTATGAGTCTGACAGAACCCCCTGCAGAGAATCAAGGAAGACCTGGAAATGAGGAAGATTTGGGTGACCTGCAAGATTATAAATCACAATCTAATTTCTCCCAAATATAAAGGCTTATTAATGGGTTGAGCCTAATGTATTAACCAAAGTATGTTATAAATCTAAAATGATCAAGGTCCAGGATAGTCTATGTAAAGATCGCAAGGTGGTATCATTGTTTTAGATTTCTATGAAAACTTCCATTTCCACAATTTCTTTGAAACATGAGTTTAAAATGTTTTGAATTTAACTTGTTTAGAAAACCTAATGCTGAGAGAAACATTTGAACTACTGTATAGTTTATTACCTCTGACTAATTGCTTTATGTCAATGTATGAAACATTACATTTTTTAAAAATTTCTTTGAACAATTTAAGAACCACATTTATTTTCCATAGTGTTAAGACCCTTTTTTCTCAGAACTCCATCTTTGTACTCTTCAGATGAATATATAGACACTGTGGCATAATTTCAGTATTTTTTCCATTAAAAACTTGTAGTTTCACACAAATAACACTAGTTCAATTATTTTGAAAAAGAAAGTGAACTTTTTATTATGTCACATGCACCTCATAGAAAACTAAAGTTTTCTACTTGACACAGAATACTCCAGAATAGGTACATTTAGTAAACTTTGTTGAAAAACTAGTCAACTTCTTTGGAGTAGGGAGTATAACTATTTTAATTAAATATATAAGCATCCATGTGCCAAACAAATAACACATACAAAGGGGATAGAGTGCCCTAACAAATTTTTTAAGTGTTTGGAGGAATTGTAGTTGCATCATAGATACAATAGTTCAGGATTCTGAGGCATTGAAAGAGTTTCCTCAGCAGTCATTTTTTCCACAGTGCTTTTCATCTGAGGAGCTCAAAGTGCTTTGCGATTTAATAATCTATGTAGTAGCTCCTTGAAGTAAGTGAATGAGTGTTATTCTCATGTTACATGTTAACACACTAAGGCACCAAAATCTATAAAGTGCCTTGAATTAGATGACAAAGCAAACCAGGAGAACTCAGACTGAAGACAGGCCATGTTCTTTTATGTGCTGTTTGTTGGCTAACACACATGACCTCTTATTTTGCAAATAATAATAATAACAGAAGTTGCAATTCATAACTTGGAGAAATGACTGAAACTGGTCCTTCACCCTACTGGTCATATACATTCTTGGATTCTCACAGGCAAAGGAGGAGTTACTTACAAGGGATCAGTAACCATTTCTGCCACAGTCAACCCTCACTTCTGAGGGGCTTCCACTGGGGTTCTACTTAAGGTGCTGCCATTACTTATCTTAGCTTCACAGAAATCATTGTCAAACTAGAAGCAAAGTTGGTCAGTTATACATCTCACCTTCTTTATGAGATATAGAATCTTTGGCTTACTCGTAGACTTTACTTGGTTGGCCTTTCATTGAATTTGCACAACATAAAGCACTTCTTAGTGCTTAAAAAGATCCTAGTCTCCATGCCCAAATATGTGACTCACTAAGAAACTCTTGCTATAAAAGGCTTTTGATGCTATCTTAGCAAAGCTGAAGCAATGTCTTTCAAATTTAGAGATTCCTGTGAACAAAGGTCATTCTCATACCCTGTTTATTTCATAGCTCTGTTTAGTTTTCAGGAGAATTAAACTTCCATCTCATATGATTGTTTCATTAAAGGTACATGAGTTTTTGGGTCTTAAGACATTCAAATGCCTCAGAGCTTAAAGGGATTCATTTTTAACCACTAGAATGTTAAGAGCCCCTTTCACCTGAGGGGAGTGAAAACCTATCAAACCTTTTAATTTGATATTCAGTAAAAGGAAAATTATACTCCCATAGCTATAGGAGTACATCAGCTTCCACTTTTTCATGTTAGGGAAAAAATCCAATTTAGCCACATGGAAGTTATTTGAATTCTTGAAAAGAGCAATATTCAAAACCACCTTTTCAAAATGAGATATTCTGGATTATTGGACAGGTGTTTTGTTTTGAATTCATAATTTCATAAACATGGTGATTTTTATTTCACAGTACTCTTCTTGTTTCCATGTCTCTGCATGTTATCATGGAATGTACTTGTATATACTCAAGTAATATACAGAGTATGTGTAATTCTAGCTTGATTTAGAAGCTAAGTCAGTTACTGGGTAACATTTTGCAACTTTATTCCTGCAAGTACTAAATTGGCCAAAAAGTTCTGTTTTTGATACCATTAAAATTTTATTCTCTACTTTGTGTACCTGCTATGATGATTCTTCTGAGTACTGGTCAGACCATTCAAACAATTTTAATCCAGTTAGGCCCCCAAGAATTATTTATACTTAGAATAAGGAGAATGTTTTGTTAGATCATAACTTTATTTTTGACAGTAATTATACTTGTGTTATAATCCAGTGTTACAGTATATTAGCACTTATTAAAAAATGTTCTTGGTTTCCTGGTAACTAATTTATATTGAAGTAAGCCTTAAGAACCTTTTATTTTACTTCTGTTAGATAGCATCTGTCAGCCTTCAGGAATTCTCACACTGAACAAGTTCTTTAGAAGGTCTCAGATGGTGACATGGAAACATTCATCTCATTTTCTCTGTTTCCTCATTGGAGCTGAAGTATTCTGGTCTTATTCTGGCTTTGCCTACCCCTAAAGAGTAAACAGGGGAAAAAACCATCAGTGGAGTGTCACAACCCATTCCACAACTCCTTCCAGTGATGACACTTTAAGCCCCTTAAGGTAGAACTAGACCAAACCTTGAGAGTTCACACTAAGGCCTACAGTAGAGGAAAAATAATTGAGTTGCTTTCTGATTAATTAGGTGGTTAATATTTCTGTCTTCTCAGCCACAATGAGTAGGGCATTTAGACAACTGGGAAAACTTAATTTGAGTGCGTGTCTTAGAACTGTTTGAATGATATTTTGTTAGCTTGGAAATGAGGCTTAAAAAGATATGTGATATTAAAGAAGGATCACGGCAGAGCTAAAAAGATGATGTAGCAGTCCTTCGCTGGAGAAAACTAGAACTTGACCAGACAAGTCTGAGTGTTGGATAGTTGACCTCTGTGGTTATTCTCAGGTTTCTCTTATCCGAATTCTGCTTGTCATCCTTCTGCTTGAATACTTCTGCCTCAGGCCTCTGCCAGCAATCTGCTGGTCCTCTGACTGAATTTGAAACACATGCAGGGACTTCCGTGGCGGTCCAGTGGTTAAGGCTCCAGGCTTCCAATGCAGGGGTGTGGGTTTGATTAAGATTGCCACCAAAAAAAAAGTGCGTTAAGTATTTTTATGGCTAGGTATGGGCAATACATACTGTTTCCTGGCATTTTATAATAACTTACCTACATAGAAAAGCTTTTGCTGTATCTATAGCAGATTTGGCATGAAGCACCCCTACTGAACTCTTAACTCTCTTAATTCTAGGATGGGTCTAAGAACCTTGCAACCCACACTGTCTCCATTTGCTTTAGTCAAGGGGAAAGGAAGTTGCCAAGGAAATACTTGTAGTATTGAGCTTGAAACAGTGTACAGAATGGCAGGATATAAAATTTCATCTCGAAGCTCTCATTTAGTAAATGTTAGTGCTGTCATGATAACAGCATGGATTATATGCATCCTGTTTCAGTCTTCATTGGATATTTGCAGTAATTTTCAGAGGATCTTAAAATTTCAGATTTTAGAGGTCATCTCATCCAACTGTGTTTTAGTTTGATGTAAGCATTTAAATAGCATAAAGGTCTTGAAAAATGAAGGGACAGCATATTAGGTTGAGCCCAAAGACATTGAAAGACTGAGTACTTGGCAGTAGAGGAGGGAGGTTATGGTCTCTCTACAGACAATTTTCTGTAGACCATAGTGGAATTGACCATCATTTTCCAAAACATGTTATACAGACTTTAATAGATGTTGGTTCAGAAAATAAGTTTGGGAAATGCCAGATTTAGAAGACTTTTACAGCAGGACTTCAGGAGCCCTCAGTGTATTAAATGCAATGTGAATCTGGTGCTGAAAGGTGGAGAAGGGAAGTTTTTCCAAACTTACTTAACCATTGTTAATGGCAACCCATTCCAGTATTCTTGCCTGGAGAATCCCAGGGACAGAGGAGCCTGGCGGGCTACAGTCCATAGGGTCGCAGAGTCAGACATGACTGAAGCGACTTAATATTCAGCACAGCATTTATATGAACATACTTAGGAAAATGCTGTCACACTTAAGTCCTAAAGAGATGTATCCTTTTGTTTGACAAATGACACTCTTAAGATCAGATGGCCAGCCAGTGATAAGAGTCAGTGCCTTTTTCCTTCCCATAATACATTGGGAGCTCTTAAAGGGCAGAATCCTCCCACCCTCCTGGTAGGAGGGGTGCCTCTTCCTCATCCCCTCCCCCAGTTCCAGCTGTAACCTGATGCTGATGCTCTAGGAGCTGCAAGCTCTCCACGGAGGTTCCCCAGTTGGTCTCCTTTGTTCCCGGGCTCTTGTGAAAGAGTGTCTTACCTGTCCTTTCATGTGTCAGATTCAAAATACCCAGGAAAAAAAAAAAGCAAAAGAATGAAAAAATTAAGGAAAAAAACAAAATGCCCAGGAAACATAGTTTTTCATTCTGGTGATAAATGCAAACAGGAAAACAAGTTGCAGACTGTTAAATAATATTGTTTTTGTGTCCTTTTCAAACTGTGCATATATTGACCTTTTATCAATTCATGTCACATAGGGCCCTTCTAAAACTGTCCCATCATAGGTTAACTAATAGAAATTTTAAAATTCAAGTGTTATATTTTTGGGAGACTATAGGAGATGAGTTTCTGGTCTGTGTGTCTTTTCCCCCAAAATAGTCTTTTTGGCAGGTAGTTAGCATGTACTTTTCCTTGGCCTTTGTGTTGGATTACAAGTGGAAGTGCACTTAGTATTGTCCATTGCCTTATGGTTTTTCATTTATGTGTCACAGGGAGCAACTTGCTTCCTTCCCATCCTACCGTTGTCAGGCTATGTTGGGAAGCTATTCTTTAGGGAGATTACATCTGGTCTTCTGCTGGAGTAAGATAGAAAACAAGTATGTGTTAATACCTGACCTTTAATCCTTTCTCCTAGAAGACATCAATTACCTTTGTGCATCATTCATATCTTCCCTTAACAACACCCACACTCAATACTGTCTCTGCTTGATCTCTGAAAATACTTGATTCCCTGTGAGCTTTGTGATAAAAGTATAACCATTTTGGGGGTCTAAGGCTGTCATAATAAATCCAAACTCTGCCAACAAGAATCTGGGTTTTTTTGGTTTTGTTTTTTACTTTTGCCACTAGGCATTCCCTGGTGGCTCAGCTGGTAAAGAATCTGCCTGCAATGTGGGAGACCTGGGTTTGATCCCTGGGTTGGGAAGATCCCCTGGAGAAGGGAATGGCTACCCACTCCAGTATCCTGGCCTGGAGAATTCAGTGGACTGTATGGTCCATGGGGTTACAAAGAGTTGCACGCGACTGAGCAACTCTCACATTTCTCAGAGGGAGGTAACACTATATGACTCTTGGAACTCTGAGGTTGTTGCCTTTCAGCTTCTGTGACTTCTTGTGTTCACCCTCCCTAAGTGCTGCCAGTGACTGCAGTAACAACTCACAGAAGGTGGGCCTTTTCATTTTCTTTTCTTCATTGCCTCTCATTTTCAGTAGTCAAGGCAGGTTGGTTTTCTGTATTCAGTTTTGCTGAAGCATTTTTCTTGTTTGATCTGAGCAGTGGCCAGTTCAGATGGCAAAAAATACATAACTTTCATTTTAGAATTTTTCCAGTTTTGATTTTTCTCATTTGGAACTTGTGCATTCACCTTTGATAAGTTCAAGGAAGTGAGAGGTAAGTAGTAGAACTCTCTCCTGGATTACACTTTTTCTCTAGGTGAATTGATGCGTTCATTATCTCATTCACCAAGCACAAGTCACTGTGACCTCTATTAGACAATCTCAAAGAGTAGGCTGTTCTAAGCATTCTTAGGAACATGGTCCTCCTCATCTTTGTTTATGGTAATCCAGAAAGTTCATGAAGAGTGCAAATATTAAAATCTACCTACTCATGAAATGATTTATGACAAACAATGTCAGGGAATATCTAGTGGAAAAAATATGTATATATCTGTTGGTGAACAATGGCCACCACCCCACCTCCTACTAGGAGGGTTAATAGCCACTGTGGCACACCAGCTCTCAAACATGAGAGGGAAAAGTTGGTTTGTTTTGATCCTGTAAAATCTGTTCACAGCTTCTCAATGCAGGATCAAAAGATGACCATAGTTCTCAAGCTTTAGGGCTAACCTGAATATGTGATAACTGATAGAAGATTAATGCCATGAAACCATGCAGACTGGGATCAACCACTACAACATTTCCAGTCAACTTCCCATTTCCCCACACTTTATTTCATGCCAGACTGATTGAAAAATAGGGTTTGAGGTATAAGAATCCAGGAATTTCCATGCTAGACAGAAGTAATTCCCTCAAGTATTATTAACTTTAGATTGGGAAATAAAAGGGCCAAGATGAATGGACTACATATATTAATAGAACTGAGATGGGACAGTGTTCGAACTGAAGAAAAAGCAAATGTGGGAAAGAAAGCTACTTGATGCCCCGTAAAAATAGTCTTGACGGCCTAGACACTTCATTTTCTGAGGAAGGTGGATGATATGGTGGCATGGATCTGATCACAATATTTCTTGAACTGAAGCCCTTTGCTGGCTCCATTTATCTTTGGAGGCTCCCTGTGACCTAGCCCAAGCTGCATCTCCTTCCTGAGCTCTATCTTCAGCAGCATTTCTGTCACAGCAGACTAGCGTTTACCCAAGCATGTGTTTTAGTTACTGTAGTGGTTACTTGGTGTTTTGATCTACCCAACATCCTATTTCTCCTCCTTCGGGGTGGCCACTTGCCATCTATCTCTACAAGGATTAAATCACGTGCTGCTACAGCTGCTGGTTTTCAGCACCCCCTGAAAGAGCTCAAGGTGGAGAGCAGAAACGAAGCATTTTGTGCTCCAGGAAAAACTGCAGGACAGATCTTAAGATAGATATTTTCAGGAGAGGATTTTATGAGCCCTATTCTCGTATCTTCTTAGCTCTAGAAAAGCACTAAAATCCTTCACGGTGATAACTATTCCTCGTGACTAGCAAATGCTTCACAAAACTAGCAGAAACGTTCTGGAAAAATATGTGTTTGAGTGCACATATTCTCCCTTCACCAAAATCACATGTATACT